CTAGCCAGAATGCTGAGACAACAACGCCGCGTGAACCAGATCACTAAGCTGCGAACAAAGAGCGGCGCCCTCACGCAGGTACCGGACAACATAGTCGAGGAATTTCTGAACTTCTACACCGGCCTATACGATATCCAGAAAGATGAGACAAGCGCGGGCCGGGACAGGACGGCGAGACTGACGAGGGATTACCTGGAAAACCATGTACACCGGACTCTCACGCTAGAACAAAGGGAAGACCTTGATGCCCCCATTACGATAGAGGAACTGACGGCAGCCCTGAAGAACACACAACTTAACAAAGCCCCGGGCCCGGACGGCCTCCCCACCAGATATCTCAAGGCCTTCGGGGAAATCCTCCTACCAGAATTGCTGACGGGCATGAACTCTCTCCTTGAGGGGGTACGCCTACCGGGGGACACCCTACTGGCAACGATTGCGGTTATCCCGAAAGAGGGAAAAGACCCGGCGGCCTGTGCGAGCTACAGACCCATCTCTCTACTAAATGCAGACCTCAAGCTGTTTACGAAGGTCCTGGCAGCGCGCATGAGCCGCATAGTCCCATCCTTGATCCACCCGGACCAGACCGGATTCATACCCGGTCGAGAAGCCAAGGACAACACCATCAGAGCGCTAAACATCATGCACACGCAACGGAGCTCGACGGTCGGAGGCCTGCTCCTCTCCACTGACGCGGAGAAGGCCTTCGACCGGGTGGACTGGCGATACCTCCTCGAAACGCTCAGGGCAATGGGGTTCGGACCGAATATACTGCAGTGGGTCTCCGCGCTATACACGGAGCCGACTGCACAATTACGCATTAATGGGGTCCTGTCCACACCGATTCGGATACGTAACGGGACACGCCAGGGATATCCGCTTTCCCCCCTCCTGTTTGCCCTCTCTCTGGAGCCATTTCTTGAGGCAGTCAGACGGGACGGGGGCATCGCGGGGGTCACCCTGGGGGACGGAACGCACAAGGTGGCGGCCTACGCGGACGACCTCCTTTTCTTTGTGAGCAACCCTTTGATCACCTTGCCCAACCTGCTGGCAGCCTTTGAGCGGTTCGGACGGATATCTAACTTCAAATTGAACGCGGACAAGTCGGAGGCCCTCCCCATATCTATACCCCCCGAGTTGGTCGAACGGCTATCAGGAGAATTCCCCTTTAAATGGTGCCACCAGCGCATAAAATATCTTGGGATTTGGTTAACTAGAGACCTGACGAAACTCTATCAAGAAAACTTTCTCCCGATTCTCCAAACGCTCCGTGCGGACTTGCTCAGATGGGGACGCCTCTGCGTGTCGTGGTTTGGGAGGATCAACACAATAAAGATGAATCTGTTGCCACGCTTGCTGTATCTTTTCCAGGCCATTCCGATCGCGATCCCGCGAACATACTTCAACACCTTGGGCTCGGCGATACTGCGATTCGTCTGGGCGAGGGGCCGCCAAGGGTAAGAAAGACACAACTGATACTCCTGAGACATCGCGGTGGAACAGCCCTACCGTCCCTACACGGATACTACCAGGCGACACATCTTTTACGAATTATAGAATGGCATGTCCCGGACTCGGACAAACAATGGGTCCATATGGAGCGGCTCCAGGCCAGGGGGCGTATTCCATCGATGGTATGGATACAAAACCCGACATGCGATGATATCCTGCGGAACCACCCATTCATAGGCGCGACACTGAGAACATGGACAACCATCCGATTCAAGCTGCAGCTCACCACGAACCCGGCCCCCCTGACACCTGTGATACACAACCCGGACCTGGCGGGGTGCCTGACAAAGGGGGATATTGAGGGGCTGGGGGAGGGGACGAAACAATACCTTCGGGCCTGGTGTGCTAATAAAGCCCTAAGGCCGCTGGAAGACATGCTGGGCCAGAGCAGGGAGACAGGGATCTTACGATTTAGGTACCACCAGATACGCCGGTACTATGCCACACTTCAGGGGAAACACCTGGTCCACCGAGACCTCACACACTTTGAAACGCTATGCGAAGGGGGAACGCACCCGACACGCGGGGTATCGACCCTATATGCCATGCTCCTGGGTGCCGACGCGGGACCCCCGGCACACTTCCACTCAAAGTGGGAACAAGCAACAGGCGTCACCTTAACGGAACCACAATGGGAGCAAATACACGTTCTGTCCCACCAGGGGATACTAAGTTCTAAAATGCAGGAACTTAATTATAAACTCCTGACGCACTGGTACCGGACCCCCGCACGACTCCATGCCATGGGGGTCACCCTCGATAACAAGTATTGGAGATGTGACATTGCCGAAGGGACGACATTACACCTTTGGTGGTCTTGCCCTAAGATAGCCCCCTTCTGGCAACAGATCCACGACAAAGTGGTGGACATCTTGGGGGAAGACATCCCCATGGAGCCCCTCCCTATGCTTTTAAACCACACTCAGATACCCCTGGGGCGTTACAAGAAAACCCTTATCAGACACTTCCTCAACGCAGCCAAAAGCCTCATCCCCGCCAGATGGACTCACCAATGGTCCCAACCATTACTCAGTGGATAGAAACGGTCGATGAAATTTATAACATGGAAATTCTTACGGCAGAACTCAGGGGCACGCAAGACCGCTGCACTCGCCTGTGGACACCGTGGATCACCTACAGCTCGGACCGGAGGTGCGGGCGGCCGAGGGCGGACCGTCTGGGGCCGGACGAGGAGGCGGAGTAGCGTGGGTGGAGGCTGGATCGCGGCCGCGCGGGACCCCCACATTTCCCCCCCCCTTTTTTTTTTTCTTCCTCTCTTCTTCTCTCATTCTCTCTCTCTCTCCTCATGTCCACATGCCCCAACGACGAAGCGAAGGTGACCGACAGGGGAGGAAAGGGGACCTTGACCGGAGTAAACACATGATAGCCACAGATAGCAGGTAGGCCGGAGACAGCCCGGCCAAGGTTAAATTAACAACCCATCGGGGGGTGGGGGGTGCCGGACCCCGGGCAGTACACCCGACCGACTCAGAATACCACCGAGGGGGGGCTCGCGGGGACCGCATCTGGACCCAGGGGGACCACCACCTCCTGTTCGAACCAGAGGGGCTTCGATCCCACGCTACAAGCTAAACAAGGTACTGCACCTCGCCAACGACAATATATGCCCACGTACATGGTGGAACACTTGCTAATCGCCGGACGATAGGCAAGCCACTGTGATCCCGGCGGGCCCTACTTTATAAAGCAAATAGGCTGGGGGGTGGTCGGGGACTGGTGTTCCCCTCTAAGAGGCAGGTCCAACATAAAAGTCCACTAAGATCACTAGGTCTAAGAACCGGAGAAATGAGGCCTGATCAAGACTGGTGGGGTGAGGGGGGGAGAGGGGGCTATTACGGCGGGGGGGGTGGAGAGGAGGGGAAACTTAAGAACGAAACCCTACAAATATTGTTGGGCATAAGGTTTGGGGGCATCCCGAAACTTGTTATACCGTGTCTTTTGTTACGATTTGACCTGTATTGTAACCTTATTACATACAAATAAAGAATGTAAAAAAAAAAAAGAACAATAACAAGCATATCTGTGCTCCCAGGCTGTGCACAAATAAAATGGGGTCCTCCCAGCAACTACAGCCTGGTCCGTCAACTCCTGCTTAGCTAATATGGTAGTGGACTTCTACATTAACCCATCCAACGGTCTCTATAAATACAAAGAAACAAGTCCTGCGCTCAAACTCCCATTACTCCTGGGCGGCAGCCACGACCATAGTACACATCAGCCAAAATACATATAGTAAAAACCAAAGAAAAAAAAGTTACCCGCGCTCATTCCACATCCCTATGTATTTTTAAACAAACTGAGGTTTTTAGTTACCTCCAATGGCCATGAGAGGGTATGCCCACCTGCCAACGTCAAGGCAGACCATTTAGGTAGGTCCTAACGCTAACCATTCGCCTTGCTCTCTTGAGCTTCTGGCAAAGATCTTTGAGACAGAAAGGGGTATTTTGTATATATTTACATGTTTATGTAAATGTGTAATAAATGTATGGATGTAAGCAATAAATTAAACAATGTATATAAAAATATGTATCCAATGTTATGATTGGTATCTCCCTAATACCAGCCACTTACTAGACAATGAGTGCTGACTCGGCTCAAGTTGTGCCAGTATGTGAACCAGCATGCAAATATGGAGGATACGCCCCACCACCAACAGCAACCTATGATGGATGAAGATTGAAGGTTCTGCGCTTTTCAAAACAAGAGGACACATAAAATATAAAATTGTGCAATCTATGTTAAGTTGTCTCTTATACTCTTGTACTCAGCATCTTTGTCATTTTCAATATCGAACTAAATATTATGACGTACTAATGCACAACAAAAATAATTATTAAAAAAAAATGACACGGGTGCAGTAGAGAAAAATATTTCTTCTGCTAATATGTCACTAAAATAAATAAAAGCAAAAAGTAGCTGGTAGCTTCGTGGCAAATATATCAATAGTAGCGTGTTACGGATGAAAAGGTTCCGACCTCATGGCTACTTAGAATAAACGCTTCTCACTCCAGGTACGCCACTTGACACAATCTTTATATTTCTCTTCTTTAATTGCCCTGAATAATAATGTAGATTGATAAAACTTTCATATTCATTTAAAAGAAAAATTGGGCATCACCTGAACAACAGCATACTGGTGGTTTTCAATGTTTTATTCAAAGTGACAGTTTCCCTTTATTTCCATAGCTGCCAACAGTCCCAGATGTTTGTCTCTGGTCGTGTCTTTCACTAACAGGTACATTACTATCATGCAAATTGTATTGTCACATCTAGTGCCAGCTGCCTTTCCCATAGTCATGCTGGCCAAAACTGGCAAGTAAGATATCATATGATATAGAATAAGATTGGGACCCACCAACATTGTGGGAATTATGTGATGGGATGAGGCAACGGTGACAATCATTACAGGTTAGTAAAATCAAAGGATTACTCCAAGCACCATAACCACTTTAGTTATTTGAAGTCTACATGTGTAGCATTTCACTTTGAAACACTGCACATATAGAATCAAGGTGTTTTGAAGGTTAAAACCCATTTAAAGACCTTTCGATGTTGCTTTAATGACCAGCACTGTGTGATGCTCACAATAATCAGATTTTGTCACTGTTTTACCATTTAAAGGGTTACTCAAAGAACCAGGACCACTTTACTAATTTAGTACAAAGCAGCTGCCCTCACTCCAACTTCACATTTAAAAAGGGTACAAATGGGACTTCATGAAACCATTAGCACATTCAGATCAAAATAACTTTTTTGATGTTTACATGGCATTTTCAATAAGGAAGTTTTCAACATTTCCTGTGCCGGATGTGCTAACACCCAGTTTCAGTGACAGTTTTTTTTTAACATGACAAACAGACTCTTCTTTTGCAGAGAGAGTGTTCATTTTCTATTATTGGGAAAGGAAATTACCTGTGCCATTCACTGGCCTTAATCCAAACTTGCCCCAACAGATTATTATTCTGACCAGCTCAGTCTTACATTTATCACGAGACAATTGCAATTACTTACTAAAGGTCACAGGGTCTTAGTAATTATAATAGTTAGCTCCACCTATCATAGCCCAGCCAGGAGGATAATAATCACATTTATAAATATTCTCTATGGATCACTGATTCTGAGACTCCCCAAAAACACTATTTTTCAAGATTACTTTTAAATAACAGAGCAGATACATGGAATATGTAGAGATTATGCAGTAAACAGTGAAATGAAAACTAATATTGAGAACAAAAAGTTGGATAAAAAAAAAAATCAAATTCAGCAGTTTCCCACAGCTATTTTAGTCTGTTTTTGCAATTCTGCACTGAGTTTTTGGGCTTGTAGTTAAAAAGTAATATAATATAAATAAAAAAACACAGTAAAACGAGGGGTCATGGAAGAAATAGGACTTGGGTGTCCCTTTAGTTTTCTGAATTAACAACCTTTGCAGTTAATGGTATTTATGCTAGATAATTAATTTATTTATTAACTTCATTAACTTAAAGGGACAATATAATCACCAAAACTTTAGCTTAATAAAGTAGTTTTGATGTATAGATTTATATCCCTGTAGTCTTACTGCTCAATTATCTGTCATTTAGGAGTTAAGTCACTTTGTTTATACAGCCCTAGTCACATCTCAATACATGTGACTTACAAAGCCTTACTAAACACTTCCTAAAAAGGAGCTCACATATTTTGGGCTCCTTTATTGCTTATTCTGTTTAATTTAGATTTTCCTGTTCTGATTGTAGCCTGTATACCCCTGCATGAGCCTCCTGTGTGTGATTAGAGTTCAATTTACAGAGCAGGTGATAAACACTTATAAAGTATGTTAACATCTGATTGAAAATTTTATTTTTTTCTTTGCATACAGGCGGTGTCAGTCACAGGCCTGCATAAACAGAAACAAGAGTGATTTAACTCCTATCTGGCAGTGAATTGAGCAGTGAGACAACAGTGGCATGATCTATAAACCAAAACCGCTTCATTAATCTAAAGTGTTTTTGATGCCTATAGTATCTCTATAATTCTTAAATGCAGCACTCTTTACAGAAACACTATAGGGTCAGGAACACAAACATATATTCTTATAGTAATAAAACCACCATCTGACCCACTTGCCCCCCTGCCTCCCATCCTAAATATAGTAAAATCTTACTTGTATTCAAGTCTGCTGCTGGCTCTGCCCCTGATCTGCCTGCTTGGCTGACATAATCAGAAGTGATTCTCTGAGTCAATCATAATGCTTTCCCATAGGATTGGCTAAGACTTTCAGGGAGGCAGATCAGGGGCAGAGCCAGCACAAGCCAAACACAGACTTGGCCAAACAGCATCTCCTCATAAAGATGTATTGAATCAATGCATCTCTATAAGGAAAGTTCAGTGTCGGCATGCAGAGGACGCAGCACTAAATGGCAGTACTGCACTGCCACAGGAAGGATCTCTAGCAGCCACCTGAGTGGCGGCCAGTGAAGTTAGCACTAGGCTGTAATGTAAACACTGCATTTTCTCTGGAAAGAGTGTTAACAGCAAAAAGCCGGAAGGGGATGATTCTACTCACCAGAACAAATACAATTAGCTATAGTTCTTCTGGTGACTATAGTGTCCCTTTAACTCATTACTAGAAAACACAGGTAGGTAGCCTTTGGTATTCCAGATGTTGTGGACTACATAATGCTCTTACATCCATAATGCTGGCAAAGCAGTCCACATTACCTTCTGAAGACGTTAAGTATAACATTACAATAAATACCAATCCTGGTTATCTGAAAGATGGCTGTCCCTCCATTGCACAAGCTGGGCCGTAAATCTGAACATATATCTTTTATTAAAACAGTTTGGTTTAATATCTAAACACAGATTTGTGGTGAGCTGAAAACTGAAAGGAAACTGCTGGAGATTTGTTTTCCAAATAACCTATTTTGAAATAATAAAACAAACCTTAAATCACATGTAATGTGGAGGCCACCACGTGGACAGTTAATGTAAGTGTTCCTTTTTAGGTGGTCCAGTCCCAGGTAATTTCTCAACACTGCCATATTTTATTTAGCATGATCCTCATATGGCTGAGTAAATCATAAGACATCCATGTTCTTAATGGCCCCAATTACTCAATGATCATACAGTCTCATGTTTGAAGATTTCTTATCATTATCACATACAGCCAATGTATTCTTATTTATATCACTTAAAGGAGAATAGTCACTTCCCTGGAAATTACACTATGGACTAAAACATTAGAAACTGCCTATAACATGTGTTAACCTTTTTGGCCGTTTCCTTTTAAATCTGTAAAATTTAGAAAACAACATATTCTGTATGCTGTCCGTATGATGGCTGTTTTCTGTGTAGGTTTGGAATCCTGACCAGATTCCTATTGAGTTGAGCTCCCTACTTATCCTCTATAGGTGTCGCTTTGGAAGTGATCACAGGAAAGCATAAATGGAGGAGTCTCTGGAAGCTGTTTAAGGAGTAAGTTTAGCAGTTAGCATGTAAATCTCACATGTTAAAATTAGCGTAGGACCCACCGATATTGGGGTACTGTGACATAGTGGTGGGCTTAACACAATATGGCATATGGCGATTTTAAATAGCCTTGTAAAATTTTAACTGTTTTTGTTTGTGTGCACACTATGCTCTAATCTGTATTTCTTATAACAATGATTGACATGGAGGTAGCATGGAGGCACCCCTTTGCGGGATAAAGAAATGTGGATTTCTAATTTAATTTTATTTCTCACACCTTGTAAATGCAGTTTGTTTAATATGGAAGATAAGTAAACATAATACTAAACACCCTGGAAAGTGACAGTTCTCGTTTAAAGATCACAGATATAGCATTTGTCACTTAAAAACTAGCAGCGTTCCCTTTTAATTATACACCACTGCACTAAATTCATTAGCTGTTACACAGAGTTTATTTAAAAAAAAAAAAAAAAGTCTTGTGCATGGAGATACTACAGTGTTCACATTTCCCCCTGCATATATTTTATACATTGTGTTTAAGTGCAAATTGCAGTCCCCATTTTTGGTTGGACTACAGCAACAATCACCCTTAGCAAGAAATGAACTGTGGCAGGTTACCCACCCTTGTTGCCAAAGACACAATGGCACTTGATATTTTTTAAAATGAATAGATAACCTTGTTATAGTGCTCAGTCACCATTTCTTTAGGAATCTGAAGGCAGTTCTGAATAGGTTCTGAATAGGTGCTACCGTGACTGTGATTCTAGATGGAAAGTCTACCTCGTCCGCTCTTTGTAGTGTCAATCCGTGAGAACTGACTGAATGGCAATTGTTATTGCTGTTCATTGTAGCTAAGCCAAAGGCACCAGTTTCTTCTTCTTCAGGGGCCCCCAACAGTTCCTGAAACTGCCTAGCGGTACCTGGTTGTAGGTATTGCCAAGCCTTACGCCCATTTTGGTCCCTGAGATGCACATTGGCATTGAACGCACCCACCAGCACCTTGATCACCATGCCATGCCCCTGTATAGCAGCTATATGCAATGGGGTGAGTCCTCCGCTGGCACGAGCATTTATATCCAGTGGGTAACCTCTACCTTGAGCAAAGCCCATCAACTCAATAAGATCCTCATGGTTGCCATGCTTGGCAATCCAATGGATTATTGAGTACCCGGTTACAAAGTCCCTCTTATACAAAAGACTTGGATCTTCTTCAAGGGATTCCTTCACAGCATCATAGTTGCCTTCTGCAGCCATAATCATCCATGCATGTTCCACCGGGTCTAGAACCAGGCTAGAAATACCAGAATCTATTTGCAGATCATCCTGTACATCAAAACTAGCAGCCGAAATCCAGGCTCCTCCAAAGGGCAGTGACCCTGTGTTACTCCATAGACTTCCTCGTATGCCTCTCTTCCTCTTACTCATTGTGGCTGGGGATGGAGTCCTACTCAAGCTCTCCGCTCTAGTCATGTTACGAGCTTCCCTCATCTTGGGAGATCTGGCCACAGCTCCCTCTTGTGCGTTAATGCTTGATTCCTTGGTAGACCTGTATTTAGGCAGTTTAAAAATGCCAACGTCTTTCTTGATGTTCTGCCAGCCTTGAAGTTCTGCTTCTATTTCTTTATTCATTTTCCCCCAAGTTGCTGTTACTTGACACAGTTTTAGTCATTTAAACCGAGAGACCTTGTAATCTCGCACTTCCACCTGCCTCTTGCTCGTTTGGCACTATTCTGCCAGCGGAAAGCATATTTGCAGCTTCGTCTTCTGCAAGATGTGATCTGGGCAACTTCCTGATTCTGTTCCTTAAAGTAAAAAAAAATATTTAATGAATTGAGGAACAATGTAATTCTCTTAAAGCGATAGCAATATGATGCCACTGTCAAAGGGTTGCACTTGAGTGGAGAACATCTGTTTGGGACTAAATCTGCCCCCTTAGCCTGCATTGGGTTATTGTGCTGAAAACCAAGGAACATTGGCTACAGATTACAAAATAACCAAAAACCTAATGGATATAATAATCCCACAATGGGCCACCATTGTCTGCCCAAAGCATGAGCATAATAAATTAACTTTATTCTCATATCTACAGGGAATTAATAGTGTAAATTACTATGACAGAACATAACATAACATGAATATAACATAAATCTACAAAACATACAAAAATGTATTGGTGTTTTAGAGGGCACACATTCTTTAGTAGGTCTGCTTGTATATGTATTCTTAGTGGTTTGGTACTTTCTTTGGTGTAAATCTACAAAACAAAATAGAATAACAGTAGACTATTGTGATTGTTAAAGGAATATATATTTATTAAATCAGACAAACAAACAAAAAACCTGTGTATTCTTTAAATTTCAGGAGAATACATTGGTTCACTGACATCTAAATTAAAATTTGTTTGGACAATTCAAACGACTCTGTCTCTCCAACATGCTTCTGCATGGCAGGAAGCTCCAAAGCATCTGCTGTGGTGGGTCACCCTAAGACTATAAACTAAAGCTCTGTGCTTTAACTATGACTCCCATGAACTTCATCCAGCATCTGGTTTATAACACAAGGGATGAGGATAATCAGAATTATAATTCAGCAGTGTGAGAGCTGCTTTATGGTTACAATTGAGCTGGAATATAGATGAAATGTGGTTTAGTGTGAATGATTCTATTATCATTCAAACCATGCTATTCACAAAAGTAGAATACATAATTAATTATACACATACAATCTTTATAACTATTCATATTCCCTGAGAAGTGGAACAGAGAAACAAATGAGTAATCGGCAAATTATTCATATATTGAGACACACAGAATGAAATATGTACTGCTGCACAGTAAACTGTATTTATTACCAGAGAAGAAATGGAGACAAAACATCACTATTTGGTGAATCTCAATCCAAATTATCACAGATATAGTCACAGCAGCAACAAGGGAAGCAGTGAAAAATAAACTGTCCACAAGAGCTTGCACTCTAACTACTATATTCGTAAACAGTTAAACAAAAAAAAAAAACCCACAAAATACAAATGAACATTCAAATGCCATCATTTGTAAATGTTTCTCTATTTTATCAAGCTATAGGAATATAGGAATAAAATTAGTATGATATTACTTTAAATCACCAAGCCCCTAAATCACCCACTTATTGTACACGCCGATATCACTTACTACAAGCAGGCATACATACGGCTTTCTCGAGAGCTGAATATATACAGAAAGACTCTCAGCTACCAAGTCTCAAGTCAGAACAAAGTCCACAAACCCTCCCTCTATAATCCTTTCCGCCTTTCCATTCTGTGGGACCTGCCAGGACAAACTGTCACACAACAGCAGCATTCACTCACAGCACGACACACTCACACACAAACAGTAAGAAACACTCACACACAGCAAGAGACACTCCCACATAGCTAGAGACACACATAGCAAGAGACACTCACACATAGCTAGAGACTCACAAATAGCAAGAGAAATTCACAAATAGCAAAATACACTCACTTAGCATAGCATGAGTCACATAGCAAGGGACACTCGCACACAGCAAGAGACACTCACACATAGCTAGAGACGCACACATAGCAAGATAAACTCACAAATAGCAAGATACACTCACACGTAGCATGACACACATAACAAGGGACACTCACACACAGCAAGGGACACTCACATATAGCAAGAGAAACTCACAAATAGCAAGAGACACTCACACGTAGCATGACACACATAACAAGGGACACTCACACACAGCAAGGGACACTCACATATAGCAAGAGAAACTCACAAATAGCAAGAGACACTCACACGTAGCATGACACACATAGCAAGGGACATTCACACACAGCAAGAGACATTAACAAATAGCAAGAGACACTCACACCCAGTATGAGACACACACAGTAAGAGACACACACAACACTAGTCACTCACATACAGCAAGAGACACTCACACAGAGTGAGACAGATATAGATTGTCCCACCTATATTGTACATGTTGTTACATTAATTTGATATTGCCCATACCATATTATGAATGTGGGGGAGCTGCTTGCAGTGTGTTATGTATTATGTGTGTGATGGTTGTTTGTGGTCTTGATGCGTACACTTAGTTTATGTTAAGGCTGTGTTGTGTGTGATGGGTTACTGTATTTGTATGAGGGTTACCGTCTGTGGTGGGGGTGCTGGTGTATGAGGGTGATTGTGTGTGTATGAGGGTAACTGTGGCAGGATGAGTGTAACAGAGTGAGTGTGACAAGGTGACAAATAGCAACAGAAACTAACCCACTTACACACAGCAAATCACATACAGCTGCATAGACTATGGTACAGCAAACAGACAGATATGCAACAGATACACATAAATCAGTGGATACGTACAACAGATACTCACATAAAGCAGTAGATACACAGAAACAGAATCAAATTCTCACATAAAGCAGTTCCCACACACAGTAGCAGATACACCCAGCAGACTAGCTACACACACACAGCAGTAGATACAGTAGATACTTACAATAATGGTAGATACTCCATATGTAAAAGATACTCACATACAGCAGCAGGGCACACAGAGCTCTTACCTGCAGCAGCAACACCTTGCCATTGCCAACAGAACAGGTTTGGTGTGTTGGCTTGCTGCACAGTCAGCATTCCTGAGACAGAACGAGAGAGAAAGCACCAGGAATCCACAAACAGAGGTCGTGTGTGAAGGACCTCACTGTAATTGTTTACTTCCTCTTCGTGTCCTTGGAGAAAACAGCCTGGACCGATACAGCAACTGGATGAATAAATAAAAAGTTTATCTAAGTTAACATGATACTTACAATGATAACATAAAACAGATTGGTTCTGGAAGAATACTCTCTGACCATTCTCTACATGTGAATCTAACTAGTAGATGGCATCGTAGGAGGTTTCTACATGCAAGACTGGTTTTTATGAGTTTCCCAGACATTTGAGTATTTTTCCGTCCATGCTGGCAGGCTCATGCATGTATCTACTACCCCTTCTGTACAACGTAACATCATTACTTTGCCAATAATCCAATAATTTTTCACTTTAAGGGCTTTCCTACAGTAACATACATGAGTAAATATTATATAGTTTATTTAAGAAATGGTGACAGAATCATAGGTGTGCGCAGGCCATTTTTATAAGGGTATGATTTTCTTTTCAAAAACAATTTTATTTCACAAAAATATGGCACAAATAATATCAACAACTTAAAAGCAGTCATGGGTTATCGCCACCAGTTGGAAAGTGACATTCAATCAGTTACATTCACAATTTTATAGTTAGGGTATGCTTTTTTATTTAATTTTAATTTTTACTTTTTATAAAAGACCAACAGCCATTGAACATTTTGTCACAATGCATATTTATTTTTTATTCACAGAAGAAATTACAACTGAGCAATGTTTTTTTTAAACTTCCAAGTAAACTTTACTCACAAAACATAAACTTAACAAAGGACCTAACCACAACTGGCTCAAAAGGTGCCCTGGGGACCAAACTGAATGTCAGTTTAACCTGTATTTTGAGGTGCTTGGGCACACCTAGCACGGAATCCGCAGCCTCTTACATTGCAGTAATCAACGTTTTATAGAGAGTAAAGGTATTTTCCAAAGATAATAAAATAAATAAACGCTCTGCAAAATCAAACCAACCTTTAACAAATAAAGATTAAGTTATTATTAAAATTGATTTTGTCTTACTGCACTGTTAGGATCAGTCAGGGCTAGTAGATTTAAATGTGCTTTTATTATTTTCAACAGTGCTTATATTGACACATTGCACGTTGGACTAATACATCTGATTGACGCATATTTTGTAACTGCCATTTAACCTGGGAAATAGTGACAATATATATTTTTATACCTGGAATTCAAGAAATCACTGTGGTATTCCGCAGATGTGGCCAAAATAGTTAAAAACTAAAAGTTAGCATTTAGGAATAATAAAAAAAACCAGAGTGAGGAAGACAAAATGATCTATAAGATTAGGCAGAAAGAGGCTAAGCAAGTTATAAGAGCCTCCAAATCACACACAGAAGAGAAAATAGGGGACATAACATTTTTTAGATACATAAATGAGAAAAGAAAAGTAAAACAAGGATTAGTTAGATTAAAAACAAAAGAAGGAAGGTATGTATAAGAGGATAAAGGACTAGCTGACTGCCTCAATGAATATTTTTGTTCTGTATTTACAGATGAAAATGAAGGAAAAAGACCTCAGTTGAGAAAAAGGATAAATGAGTCATTTTTTACACGTGAGTTTACAGAGGAAGAGGTTCTAGTTCAACTGTCAAAAGTAAAGACAAATAAGTCAATGGGACCTGATGGAATACACCCAAAGCTATTAAAAGAGCTTAGTGGTGTACTAGCAAAACCATTAACAGATTTATTTAACCAATCATTGTTAACAGGAGTAGTCCCAGAAGATTGGAAGTTAGCGAATGTTGTGCCCATTTACAAGAAAGGTAATAGGGAGGAGTCGGGCAACTATAGGCCAGTAAGCCTTACTTCAGTAGTGGGGAAAGTGATGGAAACCATGTTAAAGGATAGGATTGTTGAACATCTAAAAACACATGGATTTCAAGATCAGAGACAACATGGATTTACTTCAGGGAGATCATGCCAAACTAATCTTATTGATTTTTTTGATTGGGTAACTAAAACTATAGATCAGGGTGGTGCAGTAGACATTGCTTACCTAGATTTCAGTAAGGCTTTTGACACTGTTGCACATAGAAGGCTTATCAATAAACTGCAATCTTTACGTTTGGATTCCAATATTGTTGAATGGGTAAGGCAGTGGCTGAGTGACAGGCAACAGAGGGTTGTAGTTAATGGAATATATTCGAAGCTTGGACTTGTCACCAGTGGGGTACCTCAGGGATCTGTACTTGGACCCATTCTCTTTAATATTTTTATTAGTGATATTGCAGAAGGTCTTGATGGTAAGGTATGTCTTTTTGCTGATGATACTAAGATATGTAACAGGGTTGATGTTCCAGGAGGGATAAGCCAAATGGCAAATGATTTAGGTAAACTAGAAAAATGGTCAGAATTGTGGCAACTGACATTTAATGTGGATAAGTGCAAGATAATGCATCTTGGACGTAAAAACCCAAGGGCAGAGTACAGAATATTTGATAGAGTCCTAACCTCAACAATTGAGGAAAGGGATTTAGGGGTGATTATTTCTGATGACTTAAAGGTAGGCAGACAATGTAATAGAGCAGCAGGAAATGCTAGCAGAATGCTTGGTTGTATAGGGAGAGGTATTAGCAGTAGAAAGAGGGAAGTGCTCATGCCATTGTACAGAACACTGGTGAGACCTCACTTGGAGTATTGTACACAGTACTGGAGACCGTATCTTCAGAAGGATATTGATACCTTAGAGAGGGTTCAGAGAAGGGCTACTAAACTGGATCATGGATTGCGGGATAAAACTTACCAGGAAAGGTTAAAGGATCTTAACATGTATAGCTTGGAGGAAAGACGAGACAGGGGGGATATGATAGAAACATTTAAATACATAAAGGGAATCAACACAGTAAAGGAGGAGACTATATTTAAAAGAAGAAAAACTACCACAACAAGAGGACATAGTCTTAAATTAGAGGGACAAAGGTTTAAAAATAATATCAGGAAGTATTACTTTACTGAGAGGGTAGTGGATGCATGGAATAGCCTTCCAGCTGAAGTGGTAGAGGTTAACACAGTAAAGGAGTTTAAGCATGCGTGGGATAGGCATAAGGCTATCCTAACTATAAGATAATGCCAGGGACTAATGAAAGTATTTAGAAAATTGGGCAGACTAGATGGGCCGAATGGTTCTTATCTGCCGTCACATTCTATGTTTCTATGTTTCTATGTTTCTATGGAAAACACACTTAAGCCTTTGAGAGGTTTGTCAATGACCACTCCCAATGCATTCATAAAAGCCAGATAACATCAAAGGTAGATCCTAGCTGTATATATAGGCACGTTAAGTAAATGCTCTTAAATACTGTGTGGAGGAAAGAAAATCCTAGCATAATTAGGATGATCGCAATACTGGTTTTTGTAGCAGAACATTTTGTCTTTTTGTTGTTGTTTTGCATTTACATCCCACCTCCCCCTGAGCTCGGTTTTTAAAGGTTCAGTGGTTGAGTTTAGAAAGTTACCTAGGCGTTCTCTATGCAAATATATTAATTTGGGTGACTGGGTTTAGCCATACATACTCGTTTTCCTGGCACTATAGCCATACATACTCGTTTTCCACACCCTCAGGGACCCCCTCCCGCCGGGCTCTGGGGAGAGGAAGGGGTTAAAATCTTACCTTTCTCCAGCGCCGGGCGGAGAGCTCTCCTCCTCCTCTCCGCCTCTTCTCCTCCTCTTTGGCTAAATGCGCATGCGCAGCAGGAGCTGCGCGTGCATTCAGCCAGTCTCATAATGCTTTCCTATGGACGCTTGCGTTTTCTCACTGTGATTTTCACAGTGAGAAGCACGCAAACGCCTCTAGCGGCTGTCAATGAGACAGCCACTAGAGGCTTTAGAGGCTGGATTAACCTATTTATAAACATAGCAGTTTCTCTGAAACTGCTATGTTTATAAAAAAATGGGTTAACCCTAGCTGGACTAGGCACCCAGACCACTTCATTAAGCTGAAGTGGTCTGGGTGCCTAGAGTGGTCCTTTAACCCCTTAAGGACACATGACATGTGTGACATGTCATGATTCCCTTTTATTCCAGAAGTTTGGTCCTTAAGGGATTAACCCCTTAAGGACACATGACGGAAATATTCTGTCATGATTCCCTTTTATTTCAGAAGTTGTGTCCTTAAGGGGTTAAAGGGGCAGTTTAAGCAATAAAACCACTACAGCTCAGTGTACAGTTTGTGGGCAAGATCTGTTAGCTCATTGTCAAACTATTTGGGAGCAGATAGAGAACAATCCAGCATTCAAAGACCATCCATCACCTTTGATAACGTCAATCAATTATTATTGATTTCATCCAACGTGAATGGCAATCATGTACAATTTAATCCAGATCTCTCAGCCTATCAATGCAAGCAATGTTAACCAGAATTAACGTCAATAAAGCACACTTTATGCATTGTTGATACTTCTGGTTTAGAATTGCTTGGTAGCAAGGGGCAAAATATATACTGCTAGACAATTAGCAGGAAGCCAGGTAGAAAGATCCTGGAGAAAGATTGAGTTTGGCAACAGGAGAAAGAAGAAAGGTGAAAAATATGGGCGAAGAGCCTGAACGGAGATGTAGAATACACAGGGGGAGGCAAACTGCATCTTTGCCTAGTGTGATAAAAATGATTGCCCTGCCTTCTAAATTACTTGTGATATAATTTTAGATATAAAAGGGTTCTTCTACTGAAAATTTTGAGATACACTGTTTTAATGCAATTGCTGCAGGACTGGAGACTAATAAAAAATATTGAAATAGATTCTATGGCACACATGAAGACAATGTAAGGATTGGCAATAGGGTGACGTAGCAGTTACAGGTAAGGAAGATGAGCCAGGCAGCAATATTCCTTACAGACTGTAGGGGGCAGTATGGTCATTGGAGAAGATAAGAGATTGGATAAGAAGAGAGTGAAAGTGAATGTTATGCGCATGAACAAGTGCCTTGGTAATAACTTGTGTAAGAAAAGGGAAAATGCAAGCAATGTTTTCAAAAAGAAAATGGCAATATTTGGAGATCAACTTGATAGAACATGTAAATGTACAGCCAGCTTTCAAGTCTGCGTTATATTGACAGATTGAGAGCCACTGGTACTTTTTTGAACGTATGCCCAAAAATGTTAACGTGTACTATCCTTGCTATCCTAGCCCTATTCTAGAAGATATTAAAATTGTATTTCAGTTCAGAATATGGGGTACCTGTTAAAAGTACACAAGAGTCCTGTACATCCTGACTCATGGCGACCATTACTGTAGTACTCCAATACGACTGTTTGACAATGTACCAGACCAAAGTTATTAAGGAGAAGGTTGTTATAGTACCAGCAGACAGGAAATAGAGGGTTTCATAGCTAAGAGATAAAAAAGGTGAAGCTCGTAATTAGATGTCTCAGTGCCAGGATGGGAGAGTAAATAAACAACATCTGAAAATAGGGGAGACAAAACATTGCTTAACGACAACTGTTACAGAAAGGAAATTAAGGGAGGTAAAGTCAGGCTAAAGGTCAGACAGTGGATATGTTGAGGCTAAAAGTGGAAGACAGGAGATATGTCACGGCTGAAGCTCACAGACAGTAGATACGTCAAGGAACAAATATATATATAGCAGACTTACTAAATTATTATTTATAATAGACTAAATTATTAAGTGTCACTTTATATAGATAAATATAACCATGTCAGGGAGATACCCTTTTTTTTTTCAAATTCTTTATTTTTGGTTCAAGTCATAGGTATACATTGGTCACACAAATCAATGAGGATAAGCACTTTGCCAAGATGCGCACATTTCAATAGTCTGAGGCCTATCTCTGCTTAGCAACCTACAACGTGATGTAAAAAAAAAAAAAAAGTTGTACTTGTGTGTATACGAAGCACTAAACTAGAAACATCAGAAGTAATCCTAACATGGCATAACTATATATTGTGCTGCACTTTTTAATGGTAAGGTAAGTATAAATCGCTTGGCATTATCAGATGCAATAATAACTTAAAGGTTTAAAGCCCATGGAAGCAAATTCCCGTTATAACCTGCGCTCTACGTTAACAATAGGCAAGCAGGGGGTTACTGAGTTGGTTATAAAACTAACTAAACATACATGTAAGTAGTAGACTGAGTAGACTGGTTTAGGCAACTATATGTCGACTCACAGTAGACTGTCCCCTTGAGAATATCAGGTAGTGACTGCTGCATAGCTGTCCGGTGTGGACTGACGCGGGGTAAAGGGGATTGCTGTCTCCGTGTGATGTTCAGGTAGTTGTCTCAGTCAAAGTACCCGTCAGAGAGTCCTGAGAAAGGTGTAGTGTGGATAATATGGACTTAGCCTTTGCCATGTCATGAACTAGGTGCTTGTCTTCGCCGTGAAGGACCACCAGTGTGTGTCAGCCGCCATCTATACAGCATGTTGTTTTCTATGAAGGGACTTGAAGGGCAGAAGTGATCTCCTCCACGCTGGAGGACAGGCCAGCGTAAAAGTTGAGAGACATATCCTCTTAACCTGTATGATGTGTGCTCTCTTACAGCGGCCGTTACCGCAGCCAGATCTCTGTCACTCTGGAAATGGACGACCAAATACTTGGGTACAACCTCCGGTGCTTTGAGAGACTTGGGCACCCTGAAGAAGCTGTCTGGCCCCACTGATGTGCCTTATCTAGGGGTAAGTAGTGCAATTAAGAGCCGCCTCAGGAGTTGTGGAATCTCTGCGGCCAGTATATCTTCCTCGAAACCTCTTATTTTCAAATTATTTCTGTGCCTTGTATCTTTGATCACTGCAAAGTGGCCTGCATTTAGCTCACCCTGTTGTTGTAGCTCTTCAATCTCCTATTGCAGTGTGGCAATTTGTAGTGAATGATCATTGGAGGCATTTTCCAGAACTCCCATTCTGCCCCATAGGCCTTGAATATTGTTGCAGATTGCCACCACATCCGTCCGAATATTCTTCTGGTGGTCTGCCAGGAGCGCCTTCAGCAATGCGGTTTGAGTATCTTACGAGCTCGGAGATGCCGGAGTTGGGAGGTGTGCGACCATAGGGGCATCCAAGTCTTCCCTCTGGGACAATTCGTCTGAAAGCTCAGAGAGGAGGGCATCTTCAGCCCTACTGCGCCAGGCTCCTGTCTCAGTAAGTCACCAATATTTAATCCCATCTGCAGCTTGTCTGATTTCTTGCAAGCCATGGTGTTTCCCGTGCTGTGCTCAAGCACTCTTGTTCAGCCAGGGGGTTTCTGAAGTCCCACAAAGAGGTTTAATATAGCTTATTGCTCAGAGCTCTTGTTCAGTGCTGCTAGTCAGCTCGGATCTGCCCCCGGGAGATACATTTTTAAAGCTAAAAGAGTATAGAATCTTTAAATAAAAACGAGAGAAAGTTATAAAACACTCAACATTATTATTATAGAAGACTTAGGTTAGTGTTTGATAGGTCAGAGGTGGTTTAGGTTTAGTGTTACTGGGAGTTAGGGTTAGGTGTAACTTAGGGCTAGCCTGTGTTTAAGATGTTACTTACTGTTACTTCAATAATACTCAGTCAAGTGATGAATAATTTTATCTATGCCATACTGATCCTAGATTCTGCTACAACTAATGAATTGGGGGACACTGTGGAACCCCATACTGTTATAGCACCTGGTACAGCAGTGTCCCCTGTGTTCTAAAACACATTCCATTATAAACAGCACTATATTGACATTCACTATACTGGAGCAGCATCATTATAATGACACATAATCTTGATATTTAAAAAAACCAAACAAAAACATGTCTAGGTAAACACAGGTCAGGGAGTCTATTTACTGGTTAGTTTGAGTGAGATTAGCAGACGTCAAAAGAACAAACATGCTTCATTAAACAAAATATAAATCAGGTAGGACTCAAAAGTAGGGGAGCTTGGGGTGGGGCCTTAGAGCCGACCAGGACAGTCGCTGGAGCTCCTCAGGGAGCCTAAAATTGGACTTTCTCACTCTTGTTTTGGCTACAATCTTGATACCGGACCTGGGAAACATATTGCCTATTTTCTGGCACCTTTTGGCCCGCAGCAGGCGGACGAAGCCTAGCCAAGATCTATCCAGCTTTGGAAAGCCGGAGAATCGCGGCCTGGAGATCAAAATGGCCGAGCGCTGAGGCCTGGAGCTGTGGATGCCTCCACGCAATTGCCTATACTAATGGTACCAGTACTTGCAGTATTCGACCGTGTCTGTGACCTCTTCTGGGTGAAGCTCCATGAAAGAGGACTTACCTCTCCTCCTGCCAAAATTTTAGCATCCAGGAGCTGTCCTTTTGTACGACGCTGCAATCCTTAGAATCCCCCATGTATCTCCAGAGAGGCGCAACATTGGAGACAGCGCAGGAGACTGCCGCAAGGGAGGATCTCACTCCATCGCAAGCCGCATACCCGATACTCACATCGCATGCGGAGGTACAAGCTCTGTCAGCTCCAGCGAAACTCACCGGATCCGGTTGCCGTCCCATTATACTACGAGGGAAGCGGAAACACGAGTTTGCGGGCTCTGGTCGACGCTGGGACTGCCTTCCTGCGGAGGAACAACTCGGCATCTCGGAGAGTTGGGGCTCCAAGATGGGACTGCCTCGGGACAGCCGATGTTAAAGGATGCCAGGCTACTGTTTCTCTAGGCATAGGTTGGGTGGCAAGGGGACATTAACTACAGCTTGGCTGATTAAGTGTGCCGATGCACTTATTCTTTTAATTGAGCTACTTAGTGTGCCGATGCACTTATTCTTTTAGTTTATGTTTCTATTGAGGGGAGAATAGTTTGTCTATTCATTTGTGTTAGCTGCAGCTCTTTATGTTAAACACACAGGGCAAGCTACATAGAATCTTTTAGCTGCAATGAAGCAGCAGATAGCCTAGGTGATTAGGTTGGATAGCTCTAGCCAGGGTCGGCAGGGCTGCCATCAGAAATTTTAGGGCCCCTGACACAGCTCAAGATCTGGGCCCCCTAGGCCAGCCCCGAGTCCGCCCACAAGGATGAAGTGTGTGTGTGTGTGTGTGTATAGTGGATGTAGAATGAGTGTCATGGATGCAGTGTGTATAGTGGGTGTGGTATGTGTGTCATGGATGCAGTGTGTATAGTGGATGGAGATTGTACTTTTTGTGTAATGTATGTAATGTTTATATGCATGCATTAGATGCAGAGTGTGTGTGTAGTGGATGTAGTGTGTGTACAGTGAATGCAGTGTGTATTTTTGTAGTGGATGTGATGTGTAGTGTGATTGCGGTGAATGCAATATGTGTATAGTGAATGTAGTATGTTTGCAGCGAGTGCAAAGTATGTATAGTGATTGTAGTGAGTGCAAAATGTGTATAGTTCGTGTAGTGTGATTGTAGTGAATGAAAAATGTGTAGTGTATGTGTGTAGTGCAGAGTGTGTTCAGTGAATGTAGTGTGTGTGTGCTTGTAAGGATGCAGTGTTTGTGTAAAGTAGGGGGGAGGGGAGTATGACAGGGAGGGGGGAGATCACATTCCCTGGTGGTCCGGTGGAGAGAGCCAGCCGCGTTACATTGCAGGGGGGGCCCAGCAGCACACACTGTCTTCCTTTCCAGTTCCTCTCTGACGAACTCTCGCAAGATCGGCCTGCGTGCTGTGCGGAGCGTTGCCATGGTAACCAATGGCAACACTCTGGCGGCCGCAGGAGAGTTAGAAAGAGAGGAGCTGGATGGAGGACAGAGTGTGCTGCTGGGCCTCCCTCTGCAATTTACAGGTGGGGGGGCCCTCAGTGCACAGATATATAGCGAAATTCGCTATATATCTGTGCACATAAGGAATGTGGGGCTTAGACTGCCAGAGCAGTCCGGGCCCCCCAGGACCACCAGGCCCATGACAACTGTTATGGTTGTCATGCCCTGATGGCGGCCCTGAGGGCCGGACTGGGAAGAAAATTCGGCCCGGGCAGTTTTTTTATCACAGCGGACCACTAAAATGATAGCAATTCTTAAAGGAGTGGGTTTAAATAGGCAGACAGTGTGAACTTCAAAAGAAGAAAAGGATAGGGCAGGGGGATTGGTTAAAAGGTACATTGAGGGGAGAGAAGGATGCCTACGCCGCCTCCTTTACAGTTGAGTCTGGGAGTGTGAGAGAATTGTAGCCCACCAAAACATAAAGAGGCAGGAGTAGCGCTATCAGAGGGGGACAGCCAGGTCTCTGTAAGTGCAAGCAGTGTGAGTGAGTTTGAGATGAAAAAGCCGTGTATGGTTATTATGCCCCATTCAACTAGATGCACGTCTACTCACACTACTCTATCTTAGGGGTCTTATCCATAGAACCCCACTGGCTATTACCTATCTCTGACTATCTTTTCACCTACTGTACTACACAGGCTACATATTCTGTATGCTGCCTGCTGTGTAACTGATATCCTGAGCACCACGGATGTTTTTCCCTTCTCAGGCTATACTATACATATTGTCTTGTGTATGCACACACATAGATACACACCAACATATACACACAAACATTGATACATGCCCACACCATGACACAGATACACACTGACATAAAAACATACACCCTGACACACACAGACACAGAAGGACACTGACATATATATATATACACACACACACACACACACTCTCATACATACACTCACACTCATACACACACCCATACACACACTCATGCTCATACACACTCATACTCACACTAATACACACACTCACACGTGTTTTTTTTTCTCTATCTCCAGCCACCCTCCTGTTAGTTTACCTTATGTGCCAGGATGGTGGATTGGAGTCCTGCTGCTGTGGGAGTGAGGGGGCTGCCTCCGCTCCGTCCCGCACTGTCTACCTGCATGACGCTGGGAGGAAGTGACAGGCTGTTACTTCTTCCCAGCCGGCCGACTTTTCAGGTGCCCGGTCACAGTCTTGAAGGACCACGGCACTTGACCGGGTCCATGTTGAGCAGTGATGCTTACATGATGTGTATAATCATAGCACCGGGGAAACATTCCGCGGCACCCCTGTATGCACGTCACCATTTTTCATTATATACAGACTGGGATAAGGATGTCAAAACAGTAAGGAAGATCTAGAGAGGTAGAAACGGGAGATGGTTAACTTAGAAAGTACAACTTAGTTTATCTTTAAAATTGTAAGGTTAAAACAGATTGCATAAGACTTGAGCAATGAAATGCAAGGATTGATCAACGCAAATGCAAATTTTATCCTGAGCCACTGGGTCTCCACGATTCAGCATATAGCATATCAGACATCTCAGTTACTAACAGCCACTCACTGCTTTACATATCCCCCCTATTTATATATTATTCACTGCTTTACATATCCCCCCTATTTATATATATTCACTGCTTTACATATCCCCCCATTTATATATATTCACTGCTTTACATAACCCCCCTATTTATATATATTCACTGCTTTACATAACCCCCCTATTTATATATATTTTTCACTGCTTTACATATCCCCCTACTTATATATATTCACTGCTTTACATATCCCCCCATTTATATATATTATTCAAAGCTTTACATATCCCCCCTATTTATATATATTATTCACTGCTTTACATATCCCCCAATTTATATATACACACTGCTTTACATATCCCCCCATTTATATATATTCACTACTTTACATATCCCCCCATTTATATATATTATTCACCGCTTTACATATACCCCCTATTTATATATATTATTCACTGCTTTACATATCCCCCTGTTTATATATATTATTCATATATATTTCCAAATTTTCAGGTTTTTACACAAACAAATGTTCAATAAACATTTTTTCCCACATAAAAAAAATATTATTTGCTGCACATTCTAGTAAACAAACATGGAACTCTTTTGTGGCTGTAAGGAATCAATTGCTTAATGTCTTAATAAAAACGTCCACTGGGTGGAGTCCTTGTAATATTTTCTTTGTTGCTGACTAACTGTACGCTTGGGCAACTTCCATTCAGGATTCTAAGAAATAGTCCCTCTTTAACCAAATAATTCTACTTTACTCCTCAGCTCTTATCATTGGGTTCCTCTAGGCCAGTCAAATTCCATCGAATTAGATTGAGGAAGGCAGTGCACCTATTGTAAACCATTTATTGTGTTCGGTTGCCTAGGATCTAAGAGAGGCCCACTAAAAATGTCCCGGGGATGTAATTTTGGCTCCTGAACCAGGGATTAAGAACTACTGTTTTTTGCCTTTCTCGGGAAATCCCAAATAAATTGCATCAAAGCTATTTTTTTGCATTAAACATGTACATTTTGGTGGAAATGAGGCCCTGGAATGCCAAGATTAGTAACGAACGTAGGGATGGATGTATTTTGTGCATGTGGTAGTTTTGTCCACCAAAAAGAAAATAAATCAGACAAACCAAAAGGATGTGTAAATGTAACAATTAGTATACTGCAATATATATATATATAGAGAGAGAGAGAGAGAGAGAGAGAGAGAGTATAACCTGTTCCCTCACTTGATCTATGAATAAAATTAAGGTTTAGTGGCTGTCCCCGTGAATTATCTCTTTTTGACGTTTTGGCATTTGGATGGAACTTTGAATTAAAATGAACAAGCTCATCCATGTCGTTTTGTGATTAGTGAATTTAGATGATCACGCGATTGGATGAATTGCAGTTCATAATAAAACGAATCCCCAACACTTTATTACATACTAGATGTACAGTTACTAGTAGTGGAACACATTAAGGTACTCATTATACCTTCATACAAATCCAAGCAGTTTAGGAATTTACCAGCTCAAAAACTAACAATAATGTATATTCTAATGTCAGGTGCAGAGGTCTATATAGGAATTGGATGTCTGATGGTCTAATGATACCTTCAGTTGTACTGGGTTAAACATAAGGTTTATTATTCACGTACTTCATACAAATCCAAGGATTATTATTCACGTACTTCTTGGCACAGTTTGTGCTTAACTCATTGGCTGGGGGCATTAACTCATCACTGCAATGTACGGCTCACGTTATTGGCTGAGAGCATTAGCTGATCACTACATTGTACGACTTGGCTTAGGAGAGCTAATAGAGTTCCTAGTTTAAGACTCCAGCTCTCTGACATTAGTAGTGGAGACATGCTTGCTGAGGAATTTATCAAAATATTTACCCCAACTAAATCAATAGCCATTATATTGAGGAAGAATATAGCAGTAGAGTACAGTTCATGCTCAGAATTACCTCACTATACAGCATTTCTTATGGGGCATTGAAGTGATAATCCAACCAGCTCTATCACTTAGGTGTCTGAGACTGAAACGAGCATCGAGTGACTGGGGAACAAACGTATGTCAGAAAGAGGGAGATTGATGAGGAGAACAAAAGAAGGATAAAGTGTTGGGTGCAGTGAAACAAAGCAGGGGATTCAGGTGGTTAGGAGAAAGGGGAAGCAGGTGGGGAGGAGGGAAAGAGAGACACAGCTGGGAGAGAAACAGAAGAACTAATGTAGGATGGATCCTGAAATACGAAGGGAGGAATCCGTGTGGTCTAGCTCTTGGGGGAGAGGAGTAAAGAGTCACTGGGGATAATGGGAGACTGGTATGACACAGACAGAAAGAGACTGATAGAGCGAGGTGTGGCTATATAACTTATATAGTGAAACTGATTATTATTATTATTATGTATGAATCGCCATTTTCTGCAGCACTGTACATTGGGATATCCAAGTAAATTCAACAGAAGTTTGACTTAGAATAAGCCGTAGTGAGGCCTTGCTCAAACAATACTTTAGCTGGACTAAGAGCACATCAAAAAAACAAACTTCAAGTACGACATGAGCTGTTTCAGTTCCTTAAAACAGAGCTTTTCCTGCAATATGATCAGATCCATCTTCTCTGCTCAAACAATCTAAAAATCTAATGGAAATAGCGCAAAAGCACACGAGATATTTACAGTACATTGCATACTAGCTCTTTATACATTTTATATATCTAAAATTTATTTATTTTATGATTTAGTAGTGAATAACCATGCCAATGATTGCACTTTGTACCCGTTTTAGATATGCTTGTTCTGTATTACCCTGTAATTAAAGGCTTGCTTTGTATTTCTTTAGTTTTTATAATACATATACTCTTGCTCTGTATTACTCATATATAGTTTTCTCTTTATAACTGCTATCTCGATCATTATACTATTGCACTATTTTACTATGTTGTTATTAATATGCTTGCTCAATATTATTACGTTTGTTCTGTATACCTGTTTTATATATCACTGAGCACATTGTACTTTTATATGCCTGTTTTATATATGCATGAGTGTGTATATGTATGGGTGTGTGTGCGTGCATGTGTGTGTGTGTATATATATCTATATATCCACTAGAGCCAGGCATAGGCAACCTTGGCACTCCAGATGTTTTGGACTACACCTCCCATGATGCTTTGTCAGCATTATGGGTGTAAAAGCATTATGGGGGATGTAGTCCAATACATCCAGAGTGACGAAGGTTGCCTACCCCTGCGCTAGACTGTAAGCTCATTTGAGCTGGGTCCTCATCAACCTATTGTTCCTGTAATATTTTGTAATTGTCTCATATATTGTTACATTCCTTTTTATAAAACTGTACAGGCGCTGACGATTATGTTGGCGCTATATAAATGCCAAAAATAATAATTTCTTAGATATATATATATATATATATATATATTTATTTATTTATATATGTTATCTGTTTGCCCAATGTACCTGTTTTATAAATGCCTGAGTATACCTAGCTGTTATTACAGCCCGCACTGTCTGTCTGTCTGGTTCTGGTACTGTCTCTGTCTGCCCATCATTTCACAGCACGTCTCAAACCTCACACCAAAACCAAGTCAAATTCTACAGACGTTTCATTGAAGAGAGGAAGGTCCCATTGGTCGCAGGGTGTAGAAGTCCTTTTTACATGCCTCCTCTTCCTACCCTCCACACACCCCCTGGGTATCTCAGCCCCTGCCCAGGCTCTCAGAACGTTCTGCCCGCGGGGACACATTGTATCAGCCGTGACGTTCTCTGAGGATTGTAAGAGGAGAGCAGTGCAGGCTGCTGGGCTCCCCCTACCTCCTGCACTTGGTAGGCGCCAGATTGTAACAGTATCTCTTTGTCGGTTTCCTGTTCAGTTTCTTTGAGAGACTGACCATGGCGGCTACCGAGATAGCTCGGCAGATGGTGAGTATGGAGATGGGGGTCCCTGCATGGCCAGTGATGGACTGTCTGTATATTGCTGGATAATGATGGCTCACACTGGGTACCTCTATCTGTAACATGTGCCAGGGCAGCCTGTATCCCTGCACATCCTACTCCTGTACTGCTAACAGACAGCTCCTATCTTCCCCATTGTACACACAGCATGCTGGGCTATAGATCCAGACACACAGGCCAGGAATGGGAGGGGGTGAACAGCCAGCTGGGGATACACTGCAATTCCCATCATCCTGCAGGTGGTCTGCTTACCAACAACACATGCAGGGCGTTGGCAGTGTAGGGTACTGTGCAGAGGATGATGGTTATACCCAGACTGTTGTCTGTTTCATGTTAAGGAGACTTTAGGGCTTATTTACTAAACAGTGAATTGTAGCGAATTGAAAACTGAATTGCCAAATTAAGGCCAATGTAGTTGCATTGGAGATTTTTGCACAAGACACTTTTTTTTTTTTATTTGCTGATTTAATTTAGGAGTGTATTCGCTTTACTTCAAACTATAATAAATTAAACTGTAAGATTTAGGCTGAATGGCCAAGCTGGGGCTATAGCTTAGTTGGTGGATTTTTTCCAAATCCACATTATTTTTATTTTTTTGCTTGTATTTTCCAGTTCATTTGTCACTACAAACCTAAATGTATCAATTCTAATAATTCAAGCAATTTGTGTGTTCTTCCAAAGGGTCAAGATATGCATTGTTTATTCTAATGACCAAGAGTTATTGCAAACCCACATAAATGTATGTGTGTGTGTTTGACCCCTTATGTGCTTTAGGATTGTGCATTGTACTCAAAACAAGTGCATTCAAGTGGCTAACACTTTGCTGTTTTTATCTCCCCCATCACATTTGTATATCTGCTAAACGTGTATGCTGCTTGCCTTTAATGGTGAATTGTAAAATATATTAATGTTACGATAACAGAGAAATTTAGACTAAGCAACTTCACAGCAAGTATGCCATAAAATTATCCTGAAATATTTATTAACCCACATCAGTATGTGCTAGAAAGAGCTGTCACTCCCTGAAATCATTGGTCAATAATTATGTTACAAATATTAGTTATATACTAATCAGTAAACCAGACATAGTAAGGGTAGGTTTATCAAATTGTACTGAAAAATGTCTTGTTCGGGGAGTGTTCAATATCATCTTTTTCAATTTGTGTTTTAAAAGTAGTTTATCTTCTCAATTATGTACTTCTAACTGAGAGTAGTATGTGAATGTTATACACCCTTTCTGCCTTGCATTTTATGCCGAAATAAGGGTGATAATAGGAGAACAACAGAAAATAGACTATCTGGTGCAAAAAACCCCCAGTAAATATTTATCGATGGAATTCACTATAAAAATAATGGGGGTGGGGGATGCCTGGTCTGTGCATGTGGCACTGCAAGAGTTAAATAAGTTTAAACGCCCTGCCTAGCAAGGCAAGTAAACTAAAACAAAAACAGGAACAAATGAGACTTAAATAAAAATATCCCAACCAATAACATTTCCATTGCCTATATTGATGTGCCCAAATCTCACTAGAGACATTTCCTCTTTACGTCTGGCCTGTATGGGGTAACAGAATAGACTTGTAGATATAAAATTAGCAATGGCTAACGCTTATCTGGAGAAACTGGTATAACTCCTGGGACAGGCTTTCAGGGAAACATTCCATGTCTGTTTACTGTTCTTTTCTTTCTATAAAAATATATTTAAGATCTAAATTTCTTTATTGCAACAGATGAATGAAAGATCTCTGGCATAGTACCATCTTTGCTTATCTCTAAGTAGAATAACCACTGTAGCTTGTTGTAGTGGTTATGGTGCTTTTTATTTATGAGCCCCATCGCCCCTCTTTTTGTCACATGTTTTGAAGCTAACCTCATCCATTTTGTTCCTTCTGCGTTATCAGTGCAGCTGAAGATGGACTGGCTATGGGTGCCAAGGATAGACTCTTATGTTTTTTTTTTGTTTTGTTTTTTTAGAGGGCTCCAAGTGGTTTCCAGAAAATGGAAATGGCATCTCTTCACTTATAGAACTAAAACCGCTCCAATAAATTGTTGTTGTTATGGTTTCTAGAGTACCAGTAAAATAATTTTGATTGCAAACCTGTTTCAATAGAATCGTCATAAGATATCAATGTTTGGAAATAAAGAACCACAAGTTCGTGAGCATTGGAAGGATTTTATGTTCTATTATTCTCTGTCCCTACCATGCTGCTGTCAAGAATAACTTGTTGTTATATGCTATATTGTGTTTACTCTTCTATGAGAGGGTTTGCTTGTTTTCTTATAACAATGCTATCGTGTCCTCATGCCAAAAAAATATAAATATGCATAAGGGATTGCACTTTCTGAATTCAAAGTACGAGATGATGATTTTTATGAGGTTGCTGTATTTGGTCTCAGCATTAGCTTTGTCAAAATTTGGAATCTGCTAATATTAACTGAAACTTTTATTTTGCTATAGATGTTTGGTTAATGCAGGCATTACGGGAAGTTCACCTATGGGGATTTATAAAAGGATCACTATAGTGTCAGGAAAACAAAGCGGTTTTCCTGACACTATAGTGCCCCGAGGGTGCCCCCACCCTCAGGGTCCCCCTCCCGTGGCGCCAAAGGGGTTAAAACCCCATTCAGCAGCTTACCTTATTCCAGTGCCGGGCTCCCTCTGCGCTTAGTGACCTCTTCTCCCGCTCCCACGTCACAGGTGCCGAATGCGCATGCGCGGCAAGTGCCACGCGCACATTCAAAGTGTCCATAGGAAAGCATTTCTCAATGCTTTCCTATGGATGCTCTGTGCGATGGAGGCATAATATGCCTCCAGCGTCGCAGATGTGCCTCTAGTGGCTGTACGGAAGACGGCCACTAGAGGCTGGCTTAACCCCAATTGTAAACATAGCAGTTTCTCTGAAACTGCTATGTTTGCATCTGAAGGGTTAAAACCTGAGGGACCTGTCACCCAGACCACTTCATTGAGCTGAAGTGGTCTGGGTGACTATAGTGTCCCTTTAACAAAAAATTGACTTTTTCACTGTATTCAAGTATATTGAATTGTCAGTTGAATTAATTATATTATTGCCAAAATAGTTGAGCTAGAAATATAGTTGACCTGGAAGATTTTTCAAAATCTGCAGTTTTTGCCTCAACCTTGCAGTACCTTGGTAATTTCCTGACCAGTCAAAGTTTAGTAATTAATCCTGCCAGTAAGGAAATTCGAGGGGGAAATGACAAGAGATGTTTTACCTTTTTAGGCCAAAATTTCAAAGTAAAAAAAAAAATACTGTCAAGTCAACTATTTTTACCTAAAAAATACAATTTCTCCTGTTAACATTGTTGAGGTTTCACATTATTGGTTAGGCATGTTTTAAATCATGTATCCTACTTTAAGCAGATTTTTAGTACAGTATTGTGAGCCGCCTATAGATTTGCTATGGACCAGTGTAAAACCTAGATTTTATAGCACATTGTTGTCTCATCCTTTGCATAGTCGAGTGATCTTTTCGAAACGTGCTGGATATTTGGTATCCGTAAAATTCAAGCTTTGAAAGTCCTGCGCTGGTTGTTACTCTGATGCAACGACCTTGGTGTTCTGTTGAATTAGTTCAGGAAGAGGACCTAGCAGTAAATAAATATTAGCATTGCCTTTGGCTGAATATGGATTGTGCTGCTCATTAGAGCTGACATTATGTGGAACGACCGAGTAGTATAGCGTACAGCGCCTGTGATCCATAGGAGTTCACAGGAAAATCAAATTCGCTAGGTTTTTAGATTGTGAAAGGGCCTGATATTGTGTTTAACGGTTTCATTACTGCTCCTTCAGCATTGGCTAGAACACACACTCTACGTGACTTTGACTGCTGCTTCTAGTCATGCTTCGATCCAGTTTCGAAATCTGACATCCTTTTACTTTTTACAGCATGCCTGATTAGTCTTTGCAAAATTAGAATCTAAAAATAGTGTGGAACAACCTACATATGTATTGTAGGTGAATTGAACTGTTTAATGATATTGCAGGACATTCCTCACCCCATATCTATAACCTGATTTATCTTGCATATTTCCAATTGGTGATTACTCAGTGTTTTCAACTTTGCAACGCTTTGATAAGGATAAGTCTCCCTGTGTTTTTAAAGTAACAGTTGGAGAAAGTAACCTGTGAATAAAGGTAGTTAAAATAATTGGCTATTTTTAGGTGGCTGTGATCCACTGATGGCCACGTAAGGGGTTAAATATGATATCTAGATAAGTACAAAGTATTTCATTTATACACCCCTTACCAAAAAGTTTTGCCTGATTTTATTGTTCTAGTAATAAACAGAAATTGTTGTTTTTTTGTTTGCCACAATTTTATTTTATTATTCATCCCAATAATTACTTCCGCAGTGTTTTGTTTGGGTGAAATAAGCCAATGAGGTAAGCAAACACTTGCTTCTCTCTGTTGTAAATGCATTTATTGGCTTTGTCAACATCATAGATAACCAGCGCATTTCACAGTTCAGTTTCCTAGAAATGGTTAGCGTAATCCTGCTCGGGAGCACTGGTAGTCTGAGTTTATTTGCATAAAATGCCTTTTCACTGAAGACCTAAAATGGAAGCCCCCACTACTCAGCTTGTGCAATTGTGGTAAACCGGGTTTTACTCCATTTGTATTATACAATAAAATATCAGCAGCGCCAATTCTGAGATGTCTGTTTCAAGCCTCAGAATCGAGTAGAAGTGGCGGGGGCAGTGCTGAGATGCGCCGCACAGAAGACTTTTGGGTCAAACTGCACTTTAACGGAAGTTGTTGTGGGCCTGAAGTGTACATGTAAAGATCCAAGAAAGAGTCAAATCCACACCTTTCCTTAAAATGAATATTAAAACTAAGTCGGAAGTCATAATTAATATATGTAGGAGCCGTAGGATGGCTGTATAACTCCTTGGATTTGTAAAACCTTACTGTCATGACAATTAATTTATCAAAACCCTGCTATGCTCTGTTGATCACAAATGTCGATGGAACAACATGTGTTCAGCAGCCGAGGAGACCATTTCGTCGTTGGTGGAATTAGAGCGGAAGCATAGTGATGTGGAACATTTTCATAACCACGGTTACCTCCACAGAACAGGAAGCCATGTGCAAAACTTCAATAGTATTCATGTCTGCAGACTGCTGCTGGTCTTCAAAAGGAAATGATTTGACGTTGCAATGTCTCACATTTAATTGTGGTATACTGCATGCTTCACAAGGGTCTGTACACTTGCTGTCTCTTGTATTTTATAAAAAAAAAAATATTTTTTCCCCCCTCTTTAATTATCACAATCTCTCTTGCTTTATAATATCCACACAACTGATATTATTTATAATAACTTGTAAGGCTTATAACTCTCCTCTAGACAGATCTTATTTTATTTTACAGTTCTTAAAAAAATAAATAAAAAAATAATAATAATAATAAAAGTGCTCTTATGCTTAGTGCTGTTCAGATTCAGTAAAAAGGACATTGGTACATATACAGACCAGGGGAATATATAATTAGACATACTGGTACAAAAAGGAGTAATGGAGGAACTGTTGAAATAAACCAGGAACACACAGATTTATTAACTGAAGTGAGAAGTGTCTCAAATTCAAACACAATTTCATGTTTTTGGCAAAAGTACCAAAACTGGAAGCATAGCTGTCTTGAATTTCCAGTTCAGCTGTTTTGACATAAAATTTGAATTCTCATTTTGGTAAATAATCCTTGTCTGATGTCTGTGCTGCCGTTTGCAGTCTCTGTCATCATGTAGGTTCAGCACACATAGTGCTTTGTCATTTGTACTGGCCTCAGGCATGCTGCCATGTTTCGTGTGTTTTTTTTCACTAGGTCACTTCTGCGCTGCCTGGTGAATGGGATGTAAGTGTTGGTAGCATGGCACTGGAAAGCATCACGGTTTCAACTCACATCTGTCCTGTGAATGGCAGACTTTACTATCAGGAGCAAATTAATGCAGTGTGGACTACATCTCCCCTGATGCTTTGCCAGCATTGTGGCTGTAATAGCAATATGTGAGATGTAGTCCACAACATCTGGAGGACTTAGTCTTTGTTTAAAGGACCACTCTAGGCACCCAGACCATTTCAGCTTAATGAAGTGGTCTGGGTGCCAGGTCCAGCTAGGGTTAACCCATTTTTTAATAAACATAGCAGTTTCAGAGAAACTATGTTTATCAATGGGTTAAGCCTTCTCATTGACAGCCACTAGAGGCGCTTGCGTGCTTCTGACTGTGATTTTCACAGTGAGAGCACGACAGCGCCCATAGGAAAGCATTATGAATGCTTTCCTATGTGACCGGCTGAAGGCGCGCGCAGCTCTTGCCGCGCGTGCGCATTCAGCCGACGGGGCAGATCGGAGGAGGAGAGAAGGAGGAGAGCTCTCCGCCCAGCGCTGGAAAAAGGTAAGTTTAAACCCCTTTCCCCCTTCCAGAGCCGGGCGGGAGGGGGACTCTGAGGGTGGGGGCACCCTCAGGGCACTATAGTGCCAGGAAAACGAGTGTTTTCCTGGCACTATAGTGGTCCTTTAAAGATATGCTGCAAGGTGGACTGACAGTTAAACTCCGTGCTGGAATCAAGTGTTGCTGATAGCAGCATCTGATTGCACCATGCAAAATATAAATCAGTGAGCCTGGTTCAATACTTCCCGATAAAGCAAGAGAGATCTGGGGTTTGAGCCTGTCAACCATGATTGAACGTCCTTGCTGAGACACTGGGTGAGGTCTGTACTGAATCATCCTTTAGTCTAAACCATAGAGAGTACTTAACTGTACACCTCCCTCTGGGCATTTGTGATTTAGTATGAAATGCCTGCATGTTCTGTTATTCATAGTTTATGTATCTGGAAACATTAAAGATTCCTATGTGCACATTTTTGGAATGTTCTCTGGAAATTACACCATTGAATATCATCTATACATTGTGATAACTTATTTATTTATTTATTTATTTTTTAATGTTATGTTTTACTTTAAAGTGTGTGTATGATTTAGCAAGTGACTTTACTAGCCCAGTTCAGTTTATCCATAGCCAGGGCTTGCAATGCAGGGTTACATCCTGCACTAGTCTTACCAGCGCTGGGCAGCAGTGATTGCCTGAGAATGCTCAGCTGATGCTTTCAGCAAGTCACTGCTGTCCATCACTTCGTGAGCTAATGAAGAAACTTTATCCTGAGAAGAAAACAGGGGCTGGGTGTAATTCTCTTGTTGAATTAATTAGTTATTTGGAACTCAACCGCAGGTCAATGAAAAAATGCGATGCTGTCACTTTAAAAGAACATACTTTATCTATATAATATTTCACCTCTTCAGACTTTTGTGAAAATAAGGTCTTTTATTGCATGAATACAATCTTGTTAGGTATTGCCTAACATGATATGACATTAAAAAGGAAATGAAATGAAAGGTTGCATATTGGCAAAAACAAATATAGTCCGTGAGACTTTTAAGATGTAATTAAGCAGCACAGGTGAGTCTTGTAACAGAAAGAAAAAAATATGCAGTCCATATATTTGTAGGATAAATGAAGGTAGATCCCGCTGCAAAGAATTATAGTCCCTAGACTTGCAGAAATAATATATGAAATTAGCATAGAAATAGTTGGCAGCTTGAAAAAAGGTTATCCCAGAGGGCAGACTAGTGACTCCTATCCCTTCCGAAATAAGTTTGGGGTAAACCAATTAGTAATCCCATAAATTGGTGAACTTAACTGAACACTGAGAATGATGAGTGTAGAAATCCACCCAGGATAGTGGAGATTATGGTCGCCCGTAGTTTCGAGAGAAGGTAGGGTTCCAATGTCGTCTGTATCCAATTTAGGGAATAAAGAGAAAGCTTAGCCAGGATCATGCAGAAGGTTCGATACACCGTAATCAATATCGGAGTTCCATGAAAGGAGTATTACGAGAGGCTCTTCAAACACATGAGTGAACCCATCCAAAACAAACACACAGAAACACAACACAGAAAACATTGAGCAATCAGCTGTAGTCGCGGGTTCCTTTTTAAAAGGGAGATCCGTGATGTCAAACGCATGAACGTGAATGGATCGGCTAAACCTGAAAGACGGGTTATGGCGATAAGATTGAAAACAAGATGGCGGTATAACGGAATTATGTGGAGGAATTCTTACACTAGGTCCCTCACACAGTGTTTAAACCGTTTTCGAAAACCTAAAGGAACACTATAGGGTCACACAGTGTACACAAACATGTAGTTGGCTTGCCCCCCCCTTACCCCTCCTATAAAAGTTTAAAACTCACCTTATTTCCAGCGCCACCAACGCTGGCTCTGCCCTCTTTGTGATATCCTCAAAATAGCTTAGGGAAAGCATTGGATTGGCTAAAATCGTCGCGGGGCCAAATGCTGTTTTGGCCAAGCAGGACCTCCTCATAGATGCTTTGAATCAATGCACCTCTATGAGGAAAATTCACTGTCTCCATGCAGAGCGTGGGGACGCTGAACATCAGTGCTGCTTTTTCGGCAGCACTGACCCAGGAAGCACCTCCAGTGGCCATCTAAGGAGTGTGGCCATCTAAGACAGTGTTTACATGGAAAAAAGCCTGAAGGGAACTATTATACTCACCCGAACAACTACATTAAGCTATAGTTGTTCTGCTGACTGTATTGTCCCTTTAACCATGGACTGCGCTAATGAGCTCCAGACACCATAACCACCTCAGTGGTATGAAATGGTTGTGGTACCTAGAGTGTTTAATTTTCAGACCGCATAAAACCATTTGCTAAATATAAGGATATGTAAAACCAAAAATCAGACTGTCTATGTAGTGATAGTTCCCCTTTAACTTTGTGTCTTGAAGAGCACTGTGCGTGTAAAGAAATTCATACAAACATTCAAATGATAATTTCCTTAGAGGGCATGAGTTAGTTGCTATTAACATTTAAAATTCCTCCCTTGCGTCAAATGATCTCATGCCTGCCCTTCAGGGTCGATACATCACGGCGCTCTAATCTCTGACTAGAGAGCTTGGTCGTGGTGACATCAGCCTTCTCTCTGGAGACTAAACAGATGAGGTGTTGATATCTCTTGTAATGCTAATACCAAATTAAAGGTTTACTCCAGTATGAGAGGCACCCAGTACTCCTAAGTGGATTGTGTAAATTAAAAATATACTGATTAACAGTCAATTTCCATAGTTACTCTACAGCAGCAGCCTGAAACCTATTAAAACAGTAATTTGAAACACTAGTTATGAATTGGTCTCTTTTTAAAATGTAACCTTTAAAGATAAAAGCATGACACGGATTCACTTTTAAAAGAATAAAATGCAATTTTGTGATTTTTTTTTTTGATTTTTTTTTAATAGCTTTTGACCTATATAGTTTGCTATATTTGTATGTGTGCTACCTTCCCTGCTCCATCGCTATTTTTTTCAAATACTTCCTTTTTGCTGGTTACTGTACTATACTATATGATGCCACCACTCAAGCAAATGTAACTCTGACAGTAACCAGAACTGCACCTCACGAAAGCACAATTAGAGAAAATATTTCTGTGCCTTTTCTGTCTGTCATATTCTCCCCCTCTATCCACAAAGAAAGTTAAATGGTTACTCCAACCAAAAAATCTGTGTCTTAAGAAAACACAAGTTTTGCTTGGAGTAACTCCTCCTAGTCTGATCCGACCCGCAAAAAAATCCAATACAAATAATTTATTTTAAAATTACCTCTGTTCCAGTGCCATGGCCAAGTTCTCCCTCAGTCCGATCCTCCTCCACTGACTAGGGTGGGAGGACAGGTGTGGGTGCCATTGGCTGTATGGGGCATTCGTGGTAGTGTCAGATGTACATTTTTCACAGAATTAATATTGGCCATTCTGGAACTCTTGTGTCCCAGTGACACGGCCTGAGGTGGAGTTACACCTCCAGCGGCAGAGGGTTAAATTTCGATGATCTCAGTCAATCGATAAAAAAAAAAAGTATTATTTCTAATGCGTCCTATAGTGTAACAGAGAAAGACATCTCTTATGACATTGTGCATATTGGCCTGTACGATAGGTTCTCAAGCAGTAAGCATGAATTGACATCCAACTGGGTTCATTGCTGAGCCACTGTCAGTGGGCACATGTTCATATTGTGTGTGATCATAACTCCCCCTCTCTTGCATTCAGTGAACTGGTGACATATGGAGAACTTGGAGGTTAAACGCTGACACTTTAAATGACCCCCTTGAAAGTGTCTCAATGTGTTCCTTGCACTACCAGATTGCTGGACCGATCAATAAATTAAAAACAAGCAGTCTGTTGCAGTTATTCCGGTATGCTGTTACTGTTCCATCCCTGTATAAATATTATTCTAGATGTTTTCTTAATTATAACCATGGTAATTGGGAATTTGCAACTTCTGAGGAAATCTGTTTCTAAAGCCGGCTCATCGTCCTTCTCTCGTCACAGCTGAAATATAAACACACAGCGTTTAGTGTTTCACTGTTTAGAGTGCTCTACAAGGTTCTAAGATTTAAAAGACTTCTTGCCAAACACTAAGCACATACTAATCTTAAACCGGATAGACATGCCTAATACTTCTTATTAGGAGCGTCTTTTATTCTTTTTGTTTAATTGTTTGTGTCTGTGTTTTTAATACCATACCTAACAACTTTTGATCTTTTTAACGTGGAGCCAGAGATGGACAGGACAGAAAGTGGGTGTCAATAAGGGAAAGTGGTAGGCCATCAATAAAGTGGGTGGGCCAGCAGGCTGACTGATGGTCTCCCTTAGGGCAGACCGCATCCAGAGCCCTGTTGATGTGCTTGCTGCATGGGGTCCTGTGCTGTGCTTTACCCCATGAGCCATGTCCTACATTCGGAAGTCTGCCCAGCACATCTATTTAATAGCTGGTCTACTGCGTATGCCAGAGATACATTTTTGCTGGGACAGTAACACAAAGGGTGATCCTGTTCCAGCAAAAAAATGGGACCATTGGCAGACCATGCACTAGCTGTAGCTATCTGCTGAACTTTAGTTACTGTAAACACAGCCAGGGGCGAGTCACAGTCCAACGTGCAGGTCCTCCTAAAGGCACAAGGATGGCCTTTGGTGTGATCATAAGTATCTGTGTCCACACTCCACACCTGGCTGCTCTGTGAAGGCTGCAGTATGATGGTGGGATTTGGCAAGGCCTCAGGCCTGCCCGGGGGGCATGCAGGGACCTGCTGCGTGGAGAGGTCTGGTTGCTGGGCAACCGTCACCTTCGATCTCAGACAACACTTGCATGGATTGGGGAGTGCAGATGCAGATGGATCTAAAGGTATACTGCACAGCAGAACTAAAGTACTCCGTCCTAAATACTTGGCAAATCCCTGTTCGCTTGGTCATCTGATTTTCCTCCTCGTTTTCTTATTATTTACCCTTTGCTGCCCCTAAGGACTGTTTGGCTATGATTCTGGGTTATCTTGACAACCCCTTTAAAGCGATTTACCACCCTTTTCTCTATAGCCATAGAGAGAGAGAGAGAGAGATAATTATATAATTTGTAAACCGAAACGCGGTTTCCCATAGGAATGCATTGAAAACCAATTAATCCGTTCTGGAGGTCAGAAAAAAGTCAAAATGAGCTGGCATGGAAACCAACCCACAATGCAGAACACACAATAAAAGGCATGCAAACGATAAAGCTCCACTTCCTACCTTTCCACAGCTTGAGAAATGCACCAAAAAGTCCCAAAACAACTGCAAACAATTTCCAGAATGGCTCCAAAACTCGATGCAAAAGCCACTCAAACGCCTTCACATTCAATGCCACGTGCTACCCACAGGCTCCAGCATGCAGGGGTCGGTGCTATAAACCTCCCAGGTACAATGCATCCTGGGGAAACTTGCTTTGTATTGCAACAAAAATTTGTAAACCGAGGCATTATTTTCAATGGATTTTCATTTGTAAACCGAAAATTATGTTAACCGAGGTGTTTGTAAACCGATATATTTGCAGAGAGAGAGAGATCTCTCTCTCTCTATCTTTTTTTTTTTTTTTGTGTGATGATTGCCAAACTTTTTAGATCACGATACCTTGATAAAGCTCCCCTGTGTGTGTGCTGTGTAATTTTATGTCTACTTCGAATAGCTTGCTCCTGGAAATATTTGAAAAGAGGAGAAAACTAAACGGATTATTCACTCTGGGGTGTAAAAAATCTGGTTCACGGTTTGCAATGTTAAGCAGTCACCATGGAGACCACTAAAATGTTTCCGTTGATGCTTTACTCTTAGAGCCTTGCCCCCAAATAAAATTTCCATAAATAACCCACAAGACTTTCCTTGAATACACAATTCATGCTCCGATGTACCTGCAGTGCAGATATTTTGTGTTTAATATGTGTGTAACCATGTTCTCAACATACCCAAGTCCTTCCGTGACTGCATAAACACAGGGACTGGCTTTCATTTGATCACTACTGCATCTCCACAGTGGTTTTTGACACTTGGCCTATTGTACCTGCAACTTTAAATGTTAACCTGTAGAAATTTTTACTTTTCACCAATCCCCTGGTAAATGAATAAATCACTCTACTTTGGATGCGTTGCAATGTCTTTTTGTATTTATTTAATTTTTTATTTATTTTTTATTTTTTTTATTTTTTTTACATTGTTAACAATAAAACTTATGTTTGTGAAAAACCATTCACAATGAACACCTGTTTTGCATGCACAGCAGAGCATTTCACCACTGCACAAATCTGTCCCCAGCGGCAAGCAACTAAAGAGATCCTGAATGTTATTCGCAATTTGGAACAAGCACATAAGTTCTGTTCTCTGTCCAATTGTGACTGTTCAGTCAATGATTTTTTAGCTCCGTTGTCCTGTATCGGATTTGCAGTCACATTTACTTTTCTAGTTAATCATGGGCACAGCACATGATATTATGTTGGTACGTGTTCTCATCGTAATCTCTTATTTTTAGGGTGAAGGGTCCCGCAATCTCCCCCTATCAGGACATGTAGGATTCGACAGCTTGCCGGATCAGCTGGTCAACAAATCAATTAGCCATGGCTTTTGTTTTAACATCCTCTGTGTGGGTGAGTATTTACAGACACACTGGCTGTGTTAGAAGAGGCACTGATCCAATGGCCTGCATGTGTGTTTATGAATAGCAAAGCTGCTGGCTCCAAAGGAACAATATTTCTCTAACCGAGACAATTCAATGGCCGGATGTAGATGAATAAAATGTATTGTGTGCCTTGTTTACTGCCAGCGACACGGTGCATTCTATCAAACCAGCTAAAGATCCATAAAACATCAGCAGTATATCACGTCAATAAGGGTAATACCATTGGGTCTGTAATCTCTAAATATCCACCTGTTTAAATTCTATCTTAACCCCGTGAATGCAAATATTTTTTTCTTTTATTTAAATAGTGTTTTTTTTTTTTTTTATGGACTTTACAATATTCAGACATCTACATTTTAAAGCAATATTTACAGTGTCTGCTGTCTGATCAGCTGCCAAGCTGTTTTAGGGCGTTATAACTTTTAAATGATGGCGCGTGTATCTAAGTTCAATATTTAGTTTCAATTTGTTAAGATGGCAGAAAAATTATACAAATATATTACTATGAACAATCTACATACCATCATCGGATAAGTCCTTTCTGTACAATTTTAAAAAACTGTTTATAGTTCACCAACAAAAAACGTTTTTGAAGTAAACGATAGATTTGCAGAATTATCAGAAAAAAAAAATCTTGTTATTGATATACAATGCAGAAACATGACTCCCGGAGGTTAGCTATTTTTACTCTCTTAATCATAATCCAGGCTGCCTTACATAAAATAATACATTGATGAGTAACACAATAAAAGAACATGCAAGACGCACAAACCTTTTATATGAATTAACAAGACAGATTTGAAAAACCCCAAATCAGAGAGTGAGGCTGGCTTATTTAATATTTTAAATGGTAGGGGGTCCGTATGATTTGTGTGCTGGTATGTAGTAGGTAGTAACGGGAGGAGATCATAAAGTCAAATGAGTAGAATTGAGAGGGACTGGTAAAGCGATCGTCTCCCGGAGGGTCATGGAATGAATAGGTGTTACAGTAGTTTGTAAGGATGGTGGGTGATTGTAGGTAACATGGGAGTTCATTGCGTTAGTTGGAGTTTAGGAGTGATTGAGTGGAACTGGGAGGGAATATATGGATGTGAGGGGGCAGAACGGACAGCTAGAGGTATAGAGGAAGTTTGATTGACAACACAGAGAAAGAGAATGCAGTATGTACTGGTATTTTAAAATGTTTTTGACACTTCTGCTTGATGTGCGTTGTTTGGTAAGGTCCTCTGAAATTTTACCAGCCTGCACTTAGTTCCTTCCTGATACACTAACTTTGTTTTTGCAATGTTTGCTCGGGAGGCAGCTCTGGTAAAAATATTTGCTTGAGGGGAAAGATTTCCAAATATAGCTAGCTTATTTTGGGTGATTTACAGATATTCAATTCTGGGCTGATCATAATGTGTTTAGCATATGTCCTAAAGATTTGTTATTTTACTTTTAACTGGAAAGGTCTCCTAATATGGAATTTTCTATGTGTTTATCTTTTGAAGGGTCAGAGGCATTGAAAAAAATTAAATACATTTGTTCCATATTATGAATACATGCTATTAACAGTTTGAACCTTTTCAATACAAAAGTGCTACTGAAAAGATGTGACAGTGGGGAAAAAATTGGTAAATTAACAAGCAAGTAATTGCAACAAGACAAGTTTGACATACCTGAACAGAAGTTCCTGTTTAATTCATGAATATATATAAACAGAATTAGAACTACTTGCACCTGTGCTCTTTACAGCTTTTTATGATACAGGAGTGTCAACGAAAGCATATATTTTGGATTTATGGAGCCACGTTTAATGAATGTGTATTTCTGTATTTAGTACTTTAAAAGGGTGGGTAATGTCTGTGTAGCTACTTTTGATACTTTGTCCATTCTGCAATACAAAAACATAATATTTTATATTTTTCTTACTTAATTGACTTTGTTCTTTATTCCTGGTTTATGGTTAAATTGTATTTTTAAAACTGTGTTTATAACTTGTCCCAGTTTTTATGAATGTCTCTTTTTGTATATTCAGTATGATTTTGTTAATTTTGTTTGAATTTTGTTTTTTGGAAGGGAAAAAATATTAATAAACAAAAAAATATGCTTGAACTGATAACCTTATAAAAAATTGAGGAAAATAAAGCAGGCTATATAATTGTTCCTTAGATTTTTCAAATCTGTTGTTCGCCCACTGTTTAATGGATGACCCCATCAAAGCGTACCACTAATTAAAACTATTTACCAACATTATCAATTTATATGGTTTAAAACAGAAATGTCAGTTTTTCAGCAGCCAACAGGGACGCCAAATCCCTGGATGTCCCTGTTGTCATTATCCGATTTTGCAGCGTACTCCTGATTTTATATTGTGATGTAAGTTGCTGGGCTTTTGAACAGATCTTGATTGTGGCTACTGAGGAAACTGCTGGTTTTGTGTCCTTTGCTTTGTGGCTCTTAGCCCATCCAAGAATCAGTTGTCTGGCAAATAGATGGCTGATGGAATAGTCTTACTTTACAAATCCTCCTGGGTGGAGGTTAATACTAGTAAATTAGAAACCTGCATTTACCTGTTCCCTGGTGCTCTGTGATGCTTTGTAACAATCCAGAATGTTGGAGGGGACAAAAAACATTTTCTTTCTTCTTTTTTTTTTTCCATAGAATTTTCAGATCATTTCCATAGGTTTGGAATGCAACAGTGTGAAATGTTAAAATACATGAAGTTATTGAATTTTATGTAAATGTTTATTTTAAGGGGAGACTGGTCTTGGAAAATCTACGCTAATGGACACCTTGTTTAACACCAAATTTGAAGGAGAACCAATTTCCCATTCTCAGCCTGGAGTTCAACTGAGGTCAAGCACTTACGATCTGAATGAGAGTAATGTTCATCTGAAAATGACCATTGTCAGCACAGCAGGATTCGGGGACCAGATTAACAAGGAAGAAAGGTAGGTCTTACTTGCGTACACTTTATACGGGTTAAAAAGAAAATTCTGTGCAAGACGCAGTTAACACTTTTACAGTTGATGGTTCTTTCAGCTCTCTTTTGGCATAGTTGTTTGTTCCTCAGTGCTGTGGAAATTGGCCAGCCATTGACTTACTGAACCACTGCAACCTGTTGAGCAAGTTCAGTAAATTAGAAATTTACTTTAGAGTCTTGAGGCTGAAATACAACAGAGTGACTTTTGGCTACATGCTTAGGCAAGTTCAACCTATGGTCAAATCTATTCATTCAATTTGGCAAACTTGAATTTAAACTCTAGATGCTATTACCATCTAGATCAGTGGTTCCCATCCCAGTCCTGAAGTACCCCCTAACTTTCCAGGATTTAGGGATTGCCCAGTTGTGTCTAAGGTGTTTTAGAAAAAGGGGAAAAAAAACACGTTAGACACAACAGTTGAGTACGGGGTTGGGAACGACTGATCTAGATAATCTGGACTGGGCTTTTAACAATGTAGGTTACAAAGTAGTTTGACAAATTCAGGAAGTTTTCCACCAAGTTTAGTTTTGGCTCACTGAATAAATCTCCCCAATTAAATGTACACAGTATAGGGTTTTTTATTTGGGCTTTTTTGGAGGTAGTGGTTTATATTTTGCTTTTTTGGTTTCTAAAAATCCTCTCCTTACCAATAATATAGTTTTCAATATAACATAACAGGACACTATTACCCTAAGACAAAAGAAAGACTACATAGTATTTTTAATTCATAGCCATTTACGAATGATGATGATTGTACTGAGGGAAATGAAGTGAAAGATGTTAGATGATTTGGTAAGTTGAGAATGGTTTTAATAACAAAAGAAAAAAAAAAAAACGGTAATAGTGTGAGAAACTTGGCTGACAAGACAATAAAAGAAGGGAGGTGTGAGATATGTACTTTATACTTGACATTTAATTTTGAGGTACTTTGAGGAAATATTGTGATGTTGTATGGCAAAATAAAGCTGTTTTGCCTTTCGAGGAACGAAAGGTAATTTGTGTGTATTTGGGTTATTTAGTCTTTGGTGGGTTTAAAAAAATAAAAATAAAAAAAAAATTCTTATGTTTTTGTGGACTGGTATACTGGTTTTGATACAGATCTTAACAGCAGTCACTTATATATTTTTTTTAAATTTAAATATAATACAGGTGGTCCTCACTTTACGACCTTTATGGCCATGTTTTACTACGGCTCGCACTTACGACCAACTCTATAATGTGGGGATTCAAGGGATTTCCCACTTTAGAGAACTGGTCTATGTTCGGGGGAGTGTTCCAGAACATAGATTTGCGGGATTCCCTGCGCTAGTGAACTGGTCTATGTTTGTAGGAATTCCCATGAGGAGTGTCTGTAACGTATACTTCAGACTGATCACTTTGTCTATCTATACTCTGTTTAATAACCAACAGATTGTCTGTCTGTTTCTCGATTGAACTAAACCCTTTATACAGATAGATTAAGTCATGGAGTAGGGAAATGTCTCATTTAATTATCGTGTCTAGATGAGTGATTCCACCCGCTGAATTGTATTTCTATTTAACCCGTTTTTGTATGATTTAGGCAATATATCACTGTTACAATGTGTACTCTGTTTAAGATTATTTAAAGGAACACTATAGTGTCAGATATGCAAACATGTATTCCTAACACTAAAGTGTTGGAATAGGTGTTTAGGTGAACACAGGGCCGGTGCAAGGATTTTTTGGCTACACAGGTGAAGATGCATTTTGCCGTCCTCCTCCCCCCCCCTCAAAAACTGTATTTCACCTGTGTGCTTCGCAACCTCTTTTTTAAATGTCTTACCCTCTTTAGTGTTATATATCTCCTCTTGAATGTCTTACCCCCTTTAGTGTATTATATCCCCCCTTTAGTGTGTCATACAACACTCTGTGTCTCTTACTTGCCCACCAACCCCTTCCTGTGTCACTGTACTTTAGTGTGGGGGATAGGGAAGTTAGTATATATTAAATATTGCCAACAAATTCTGTAGTGCTGTACAATAGGGCTTTAGTGCAGAGGATAGGGGCAGTACTGTGTGTGTGGGACAGGGGCTTTAGCGGGAGGCAATAAGGGTAGTATTGGGGAACAGGGGCAATATTGTTGTGGATTGGTGCTTTATTGTGATGGGGACAGGGGTTGCTTGTTGTAGATTAATTATTTTGTGTGGGGGATTAGGGCATTAGTGGTAGTGTTAGCAACAGTATTGTGTAGAATGGGCCTTTAATGTGTTGGGATAGGGGCAGTGTAAAGGATCCTTCTATTCGTGCAGTGCTGATCCTTGTAGCTTCTCCCGAAATCCAGCTGAAACAGAGTGATTATAGCTTCCATTCCCCCAAACATGAGTCGAGACTTCATGAAGGGGTAAAACGATCTGATTTAATGGGGGCTACCTGCCCGATATTTATGCAGGTCTCCCACCTGGTGGACACTCCCCTAGGGGACCAGATGGAAGACTGGGACAAAAGAATTGCAGTAGCCAATCGCAGTGGCTATAACATAAGCACTCCCCTTTTACATAGGTCACTCCCTCCTTTCCATCCTGGAGATAATTAACTTAAGTTAGTAAAGAGAGCCTTAATTATCTCCAGGTAGAAAGAAACATGGCTTTTCCCATATTCACAAAACAGCATAAAAATGTATAACTTATATTTTACTGAACATAAACTTTAAGTCCCACATACCCCCAGATAGCTTGGATCTGAGTGCATATTCTAGGCGAATAGCGCTCAGATCCCACGAACACAGTTCTCAATAACGTCGAATGAAGTTTGGACTTCACCGGCCGTTCGCGTGTTTGTATCCGACAAAGAGTTCCACACTGTAGCTATCTGGGGTCGGGCTCTTTCGCATAAATCCAAGTCCCGAACGGTGCAACGTCTCTGGCATTCGTATGTTTTCAACCGTATGAACGAGGACCTTGGTAGGTATCAGCGGTGTTCGGCAGAATAAGTATCCGAAAAAGAGTTCCAGGGCATTGCCGCCATTTATCGCTGGGCATTCGACAATCTAAAATTGCGACTGCCATGTGTTCGGCAGACGAACGCGGACCACCAAGCTGTTCCCCAATTACTCTGTGGTTAACCGCAAAGTCTGGGTGGTTAATGGGCCCCACATGACCTCAGTAGGAGGTCGGGTGATTCGACAGTTTATTCGTTTTATTGCTATTTGCACGAAATCACCCCACACACGTCTAAATAACCGAACAGGCTGGTTCGCATAGTCTGGTTAATAAGGGATTTCGTTACAGGCAGTATAGTGTGGTTAGGTGTAATAGTGGTGGTAGAGGCAGTATTGTGGGGAACTGGGGCTATGGTTATGTGGATAGGAACAGTATTGGGGGCAGGATTGTGGGGGACTGGGGCTATCGTGGGGGGATAGGAATAATATTGGGGGGAAAGTGGGAGTATTGTGGGGAGGTAGGGCAGTGTTTTGGGGGACTGAGGTTATGGTGGGGGGGATGGGGCAGTGTTTGGGGCCAGCATTGTGAGGACTGGTGTTATGGGGGGTAGGAACAGTATTGGGAGTCAGCAGGGCGGCATTATGGGGTAGAGGCAGTATTGGGGGGCAGGAGTGCAGCATTGTGGGGACTGGGGTTATGGTGGGGGGGATTGGGGGACTGGAGTTAGGGTGTGGGTAAGGACAGTATTTGGAGTAGCATGGCTGCACTGTGGGGGACTGTGGTTATGCTGTGAGGGTAGGGACCGTATTGGGGGCAGCAGGGCACAATTGTGGGGGACTGGTTATGGTGGGAGGGTAGGGGCAGTATTGGGGGGCAGCAGGGCAGCATTGTGGGGACTAAGGTTATGGGGGGTAGGAACAGTAGTGGGAGGCAGCAGGGCAGCATCATTGGGGGAGGGACAGTATTGGGGGGACTGTGGTTATGGTGGGTTGGTAGGGGAAGTATTCTGGGGCAGCAGGGCAGAATTGTGGGGTACTAGGGTTATGGTGGTGGGTAGGATCTGTATTGGGGGCAGCAGTGTGGGACACTGGGGCTATGGTGGGAGGGAGGGAACAATAGTGTGGAGGAGTGCGGCTTAGAGACACACTCCCTCCCCCTCTCCCTATCTACCTTCTGCTGAACTGGGGTCCAGTGGGCTGCCTCTGAGGGAGCTCCGCTCTTTGTCTGCATTTCCCTTATAGCTCCCTTGCGCGCCCCGCAATGGTGCCTGGGAGTCTGAATATGACGTTGCATTCCGGCTCCCAGGCCCTTTACACTGCAAGCGAGGTAGCTATACAGGAAATGCGGACAAAGAGTGGAGCTCGATCACTCACGCCGTCCTCCTGCACTAGCCAGCCGAGGTACTGGCGCTCGGCAACGCTACAGGAAATGACCGGAAGGAGAGGAGCTCTGTGCACTTCTCTTCTGCCGGTCACCCGGATATTTGCACCCCGGGCCGAAGCGCCCTAAGGCCACCGCCTGTGCCGCCTTATGGTAGCGCCGGCCCTGGGTGAAAAGCCATCCACTCTGTAGAGTTAAAAGGTGATTTTAATTACTATTTCTCCATAGCCACGCTGGTCTCTTTGGTTGACCCCACCTCCGTAGCTGAGATCATCAATCTTCCCCTAGGAAAGCATTGGGACACTATTGTGCATGCGCAACAAAGCACCACGCTGCGCCAATCAGCATCTCGTCATGGAGATGCATTCTCTGAAAAGGCAGTCATTACAGTGTGCAGGGACGTGCTATAGACACCAGAACTACTACATTAAAGTGTTGATGTTTTTCGAATCCAATTGTAAACTGTTTCTGCCTAATCTAACCATAATTGTAAATAACATCTATGTTAGATTCTTTTGTTATGATGTATTCATATTTTGTAATATTGCTTTATCTTTTCCAGTTATAAGTCAATTGTTGAGTTCATTGATTCACAGTTCGAGTCGTACTTGCAGGAGGAGCTCAAGATCAAAAGAGTTCTTCATAACTACCACGACTCTCGGATCCACGCCTGCCTTTATTTCATTGCTCCCACTGGCCACTCACTGAAATCTATTGATCTTGTTACAATGAAAAAACTGGACAGCAAGGTCAGCATTATGAAGCAGAATCCTAAAACGTAACACCTGCTATGTTTATTGCATGCAATCTCTCATAGCATTTCTATGCCCCATGCTCTCTAAATTTGTGTTTTTAGCACTTACTTCCAAAAAATTGTCGCTAAATCCATAAACACATTTTTTTTCACGTTCTATCTTGTGGTTGTTGAAGATGGTTTCTAGCTAGAATAAACTGGAATATTTTTAACCCTTGCTTTGCAACACATCAAATTCATACTAACCAATTTTATACCAGTCATAATGCTACATTAATGGTTACAGTAGTTTTTGCTTTTCCCCTGATAACCTTTCTCCATAATGGTGACTTGGTATAGAATTTAGTATTACTTTTATTTTTATGGAACCTCTCAGGTAATACTAAAATCCCCATCTGCAATGAGCTTTGTTTTTAGCCACTGGCTCTGTTTGTTAAGCCAGCTTGTCTGTGCTCAGGCATGGGGGGGGCTTTTATGAACCGGTGCTTACTCCTTGCAGCCATGACAATCTGGTCCAGGCAGACCCAAAATATCTTACCAATGTACTCCTCATACTGTCTCTAAATTACAGTCCACATAATTTTCAAGAAAATATGGCTGTAAATAAAAATGTACGAGGACAGCTGGGAAGGATAGAATTGTAAACTCCAAATGGGAGAATAATATTCTGGAACTAAATCCTGGCTAAATACAGCATTTAAATTGTTTTTTGTTTTTGTTTTTTGTGAAAAACAAACAAACAGTATGTTACACTGTTTAACATCACCTGTTGTACTCTGCACTGTTTTAACGTGTTTGCGTAGCTTAGTATTAAAATAAATTCCGCTCACAAGTTGCAATTGCGTACTTTGTGCAGCAACAGAGTTCTCCTGCAGACAGATGTCGGATATAGGCTAAAAATAGGGACGTTTGAATTTAATTTGCTCTCTGTCTACTGTATGTGGCGCCATGAAGACTTTCTTTTAACTGCTCAGCTATCACAGGGGAGACGTCCTCAGATAAGCAATAATTTAGGTTGATTTAAAATTAGCTCAGCACAGAATCTGCATTGTGTAAAGATTTTAAGACAAAGGAAAGGTTGCCGGATAAAGCACCTATGATTGCTCGTTATTTTACTTTCATGCAGTTCTGGTTATCCTAATGAATTACTGTGTATATATGATTTTTTTTTTTTCTTTTTCATTGTTAGGTGAATATAATCCCAATAATTGCCAAATCTGATGCCATTTCAAAAAGTGAGCTGACAAAATTCAAGATTAAGATCACAAGTGAGCTTGTCAGTAATGGAGTACAGATTTATCAGTTTCCTACAGATGACGAAACTGTCGCAGAGATTAATGGGACAATGAATGTGAGTATTGAGACATTCTCTCTGTTAGGACTTAGTAGAATTTCCTTTATTTTTGTTATGTTTGTGATATGTTATCCGTGTAATTTTGTAAGGCCCAAGTGAAGGCCGTTGTGTCATTGATGGACTTTTCATCATGGTTTCAACTAGGACTAGTTATTCAAATAACCATGGCTTTGATCTTTCCGTATTCTGAACTGATAGACAACCATAACACTCCATCTCCGTGAAGTGGTCTAAGTGCCATGTCCCCTTTCTGCTTAACCCTGCCACTGAAAAGTAGGAACGGCAGTGTTTGCATTATAGGGCAACCACTCGAGGTGCTTACACACCCACAGCAGAGTTAAACTTGGCTGTTCAATCAGAAGGTCTCATAGAGACCATTTGATTGGCACACCGTGGCATTTTGCTGCACATGCGCACTAGCCTCTCATTGCTATCCTACTTGGAAACATTGGGTTAGTTGAGCCAAAGATGCAGAGCATGATTGTGGAGAACGGCACATTGAGGGCTGAAAAGGGGGGGACCTAAATCGGTTTCAGGACACTATAGTGTTCCTTTAATCATAAAGGAGGTACCCAAAAAAGCTGCTGAAACTTACTTTCAGGGGAACTGCATCTGGTAATTACACCATTGACTAAAACATTGAAAATCATGATAATGTGTGGTCTTATTTTCTTTCATATTATATTAAAGATTTAGCCAGTTACATCGTTATTAATTTCAGGCCAGGCTCAGCCATGGTGTACATTTTGAATGAAGAGGAGATACTGAAAACTTTCAATTCTCCTCTGCTGTGTGTGTTTTCACAATGCTGACAGAGCTTCTAACAATAGAGCTAAGATTGAGGAACTCACTTGCATGATAAGTGCAAGTGTAGGTCTATGTGTGAATATTTATAGAGAGGTCTGCATAAAATCTCTCCTGTTTCCAATACATTACACCATCTTAATAGCAGAACATACAGTAATATGTGTCCGAGGCTATATGCTTTCCCACTAGTCCAAAATATATAAATATTGTGTAAACTTCTAAAACAAAACCTTTCTAGAATATTTTAGTTTAAATAAATCACTCGCATGTTTAAATGTTTGTTACACGCGCCACTGTATTGGTTTCCACAACATTGATTAAACACGTTATTATAAGCATGCAGTCTTTTATTCACCAATATTCACCAACGATTTATTGAAAATAGCTTAATCAAAAAGTTCATGGAATATGTAATAAAAAGCAAATATTGTCTTGCAGTCATTTTTGTATTGGTTTCTTCTAACCGCACAAGCTATGCCACTGTACGATGTGCTTAAATAAAGCTATATAACTAAAAGTATGGCATTCATATTCCTAGTGTGAGTCTGTGAAAATTTTCCACACAATAAATGTCATTTTGTGCGGCTGATAATGTCACCACCAGAAGGAAACCTGCTGTTATGTTGTCCAGTAATTGTTTTACAGTTTCCTGATTTGGGTGTGAAAGTCGAGGCATGGTACCGTATATGATGCACATGGGAATATATCAAGAATTGTTCCCTGACATTGACGAATGGCTGCGGAACTACAGTACAGTTTTCCTATTCTAATGAGTCGTAGATGGTTATAGTCGTATGGAGATATATCACTTTAGAACTTGAAATATAATCACATGTGTTGAGGTGACCATAATATAAATGTGCCAAATACCCACTGAAGTGTGTGCACATAAAGGGAGATTCATATTGTGAAAATCTGAGATATCTGATTAAGGTAGTAATAGGATTTAAATCCATGACATAATGTAAGAGCTAGGTATTTAAATAATTTTAAGTTTCTAATCCCAGATATGGTAAACTGAATACATTTTAGATTGGAAGATTAATTCTATGTTTGGGCTATTTCTCCACAGTTTTCGGTTTTGTTTATTTTTTTTATAAATCTTTACTTTTTTTTCATCTGTATTTATTTTCAACCTACAATTAAAGGGACACTATAGTCACCCAGACCATTTTATCTTATTTAAGTGTTGTGGGTGCAGTGTCCCTGTAACTTTTTTGTTTTTGAAACTGCACTTGTTTAGGTTGCAGGGTATAATCCACCCCTAGTGGCGGTCATAGTGACTGCCTCGAGAGGCGCTTCTGCGGCAGTCACAAAGTAAAAGTTGGTCACGTAATGCAGAAGCCTATAAGAAAGTATTGAATTCCGTGCTTTCCTATGGAGTAGTTTGGAAACGCACGCGGCTCTTTCCGCGCTTCAGCTCTGCAATGCTCTTCTATGAGAATTGTGTTGAACCATCTCAAAGGTGGCTATGCCTCCTCTAGTGCGTCGAGGTGAGCAGTGTGGAGGGGGAGGAGACCTGTAAAAAAACAAACAAACAAAAAAAAACTAGGGACAGTTTTGTATACCTAAACGTATAGAATTTAATAATTCTGGAATAAGTTGCTTAAAACATGTGCAATTTTATCTGGAATGATTAGGTACATAATATAGGTTTAACATTCTATGCACTGCATGCTTGATTTGATTAATATTTGTATTGTATTGCTGTATTTCAGGCTCACTTGCCGTTTGCAGTTGTGGGGAGTACAGAAGAAGCCAAAATAGGAAATAAAATGATGCGGGTTCGTCAATACCCATGGGGAACTGTACAAGGTATGCTCTTCTGTATGTCGTTCCGAGTCTTAAATTTGGACTCTATATGGAAGCAACACTGTTTCCATCCCTACAGCTGAAATGTCATATTGCTATATCTGCAAATATTTATTGGGATCCCATGACATTACAGGTGTGTATGAGAGGGGGGTTGGATGTTGGGGTTTAATTATATATTTTTATTTATTTTTTAAGTATTTTGGTTTTATTGCCCAGGTAAAGTGCTTGTATCTTTAGCCAGCCCGGAACTCTTGTTATGGATTGGCTGGTGACGCTGCCGTAGGTGGAGTTACACCTCTGCCATCAAATGGGTTAAACTTTGAATGTGCTGCGTTTCAGTGTGAAACATTACACAAACAGTCTCCAGGCACCATAACCACTTCACATCACTGAATTGGGCATCTTGCTTTGGGTAACCCTTTAATTATGGTTTATTTGCCTTGTAGTGGAAAACGAAAGCCATTGTGATTTTGTCAAACTACGCGAGATGCTTATACGGGTAAACATGGAGGATCTACGCGAGCAAACACACACGCGCCATTATGAGCTCTATCGAAGATGCAAATTGGAGGAAATGGGTTTCAAAGACACAGACCCTGACAGCAAGCCTTTCAGGTACCAAAAGGGTTTATATGGAATCTTATAGATTTGAATATAGTTTCTTGGTTCCGTAGCAAGATGTTTTGGAACCTAATTATTTATTTCTCTGTGTAGGAAAATTACTTAAAGACTAGGTATCCACCTATCATTATTGCGATAGTATCCTGTTTTTCTTGTTGTGTCTATATGAAATTTTTTTATAGAACCTATCAAATGCTGTGGAATATACGACTTTACCATACTTTAAAGGGTTTGGTTAATATACATTTTAATCTTGTATTCATTGCTATAGAAATATTTAGTTTAAAAGTTATGAACTCACTAGGACTGAGTTCAGAGGCACATCGAGCAAAACATGTATAATAGTGTATCTGTTTATCCTGATCAGCAACGTAGGTTGCTATTTTCGCTCCAAACTCACGTAATTAAAAAAGTACTGTATTATATTTAAAATATTAAAAAGACACTTTAGGCACCAAAACAACCCAATCTTCATGAAGCTGTTTCAATATATAGATTATGCCCTGACAGTCTCTCGTTACTCAATTCTCTGCCATTGAGGAGTTACTTTTTGTTTCTGTTAATGGAGTCCTAGTCATACCTGTCCTGGCAGTGACTTGCACACCCTTCATGGAAAAAAGAGTTTCATTTTCAGATCTTAACGCACAGTGTGTTTACTATTGAAGTTTTATCTCCTGCACTGTTAAATGAACCATAATCACACACTGATGGCTCTAGCAGGCTTTTAACAGAGCAGAACGGGACTATAAATTAAACATTAAATAGACTGTGCAACAAGCGCAGCTAAAACAATGAGCCTCGTATTCAGAAAGTGTGCAGGGAGGCCCTCTGAGTCACAGCCATCACATTATATTGTGCCCGAAGACCAGGTCTGGACAGGTTATTTATTTTATTGCGTTTTTTTTATATAAATTGAAATTTTATTTTATTTCTAAAAATTTTCTTTAATACAAAGTGGTGTTTTTTAGGGTTATTCCAAATGATTTGGAAAACAAAAAAAATGTTTTCATTCATTGTTTGAAGTTAAGATTTATATTTTAAGACTTTTTACTCCTTTAAAATGCCTATTCTTACTTCCTTAACAATAAACCTTTTATTTTTTTTGTGGTTGATTCCCATCAATTGCAGATTGTGACATGGTTTTCTTTAATTTATTTATTTATTTTTAATTTTTTTTCATTTTAGTTTGCAAGAAACCTATGAAGCTAAAAGGAATGAATTTCTAGGAGAACTGCAGAAGAAAGAGGAAGAAATGAGGCAAATGTTTGTTCAAAGAGTGAAAGAAAAGGAGGCAGAATTGAAAGAGGCGGAAAAAGAGGTAACCACGTCTCCCCTAACAAGAACTCTTGGTTCTCTCCAGAGCGTCCATGATTTCTCTGTCTTGTCTCAGAATGCTGAATGTAAGCAAATATTGGCAAACCAAGCAGATCCCTGATAGTACTGTCAGTCAAACCGAATGAGACAAAATTTATAGTATCCTCAGAGACATCTTGATCTTTTCTTCTGGTAGTTACCCTTAAATCCTGGTTTTCTTTTGACCACTATTTTTTTTTTTTTTTTCTCTCCAAATATGATTTAGAATGACATTTCACATCATTCTTAATTAATCCCATGGCTGGCTGGGCATCATGAGAAATATAGTTTAAAACAGGGGTGCTTAAAAGGTAGATCCACAGGTGTTTTAAAATTACAGCTTCCATGATGCTTTGCCATTCTAAAGACACGCAAGTTGTAGATACTTGCTGTCCACATTGTTAAGCAATATCACGAACCAGATTGGAAAGCAAGATGTTTTCATCCAGTCTTCGAATATATTAATTTTGGCATTTGTGTGGAAATAAATCACTGTGGTGGACTGGCTCCTCACTATTCCTGTGTCTTGTTCAAGCTCCATGAAAAGTTTGATCGCTTGAAAAAATTACATCAGGAAGAGAAGAAAAAGTTAGAAGACAAAAAGAAGGGCCTAGATGACGAGGTTAATGAATTCAAAAAGAGAAAGACGGCGACGGAGCTACTTCAGTCGCAAGCGCAGCAGGCAGGAGGATCACAAACCCTAAAACGGGAAAAAGAGCGAAAAAAGTAAGTACACGGATAAGTAATTCAATTTTAGGCTGTAAACTGAAAACACAAACATCAATTCAAAACACAAAGAATAAATGTGTGTAGAAGGTATAACTGCAGGCAGGCAGGCCTACTTCGTCTCAATACCTAGTTTAGCACAGTTGTATAGATCACCAACACTAGCTGGTAAATTTAAAAAAAAAAATATATATATATATATATATATATATATATATATTTTTTTTTTTTTACGCGCCAAGTGTAAGCCTTGTGTAAGCAATTAGCGTGCACCTGTAAATTTTGTAATTAATATAATTTCCTTATTAGCTTGGTAATATACACCAGGTAAGGAGGAAATTCTTAAAGCATAAAGGTAGGTTTGCAAAACGTTGCGTTGCTCAACTAACCCTATAAAAACAGTATTGGCTGACCCTTGTATGTCTATGTGAGCAATACATATTTGGGTTTATCATGTAAGAAAGGACATCTGTGCCAACTTGTAAGGTCCTAGCATTTTTGTCCCTACACTTTTTTTTATTTTTTTTACGTGTAACTTCTGATGAAAATAATTTCATTTAATTGAAATTCCAACACAGTCAGTGTGAGGTTTTCATACAGATTGTTTGTTTGTTTCTTTATGAAAAGCTAAAAAATTAAAGTGCTAACTAAATGCTCAGTATTTTGTATCTTTTTCAAAACAAAATGATACATAATAAGCATATAACTGACCGAAAACGCACATAGTTAGGACATATGCAGAATTTCAGTTAGTTTTTTTTTTTATCTGTTTGTTTTGAAGATTTCGTAATTATATTTTAGAAATGTCATCTGATATTTTCATAACTTATTCTTACCCCAGACCAGCTGGAAAATGTATTTTAAAAATTCCCCGTTGGTTCCTCCTTTTCATCCTCTTTATTTAAAAAAAAATAAAAATCGCAATATATTGATTTTTGGGTGTAATGATTATTTGCTAATATCGGCTATAATTTTTAATACACTGTGCTGCTTTAAATTATCTACTTTTACAACTGTTCACCCTAAGCCTGGTTCCTTTATTTGTTGTCCAGTACTAACCATTAACCGATCATCATTCTCCATCTCATTCTGTGCTGGTAATGTGTTGGTTCTGAACATATTGTATGCTTGGTCCTCATTTTATTTTTTTGCTAATTTCGCTGCTAAAATTCACTGTACAGTATTAAAAGTAATAATCAACCTGCTTTCAATTCACACTTCACCCTCATCATTAGTTGTTACCTATGTGCTGTTTTACAGTTAATCCTTTGTTTGCTGCATGGCCCAATGGTTTCCGGTAAGCTTTATTAATCAAGTACACCTGGTGTGGGGGATCTAACAGGGGACTAAGTGGCACTATGTCTTTATGTCCACTATAACCACGTCTTGTCTTAAGTGTGATAAGCTTTGCCTCTGAGTGAGGCTTCTGCAAAGAAGGAGAACACCACTAGGAGTATAACCTGTTTCGTGGTACGATTCTAAGCACCCAGCTGCACATGTATGTATAAGTAAGTGCATATTCTTTTTTTACATGGGGAGTGCAGTCACAGAGAGAAAAGCTGCAGATTTACCAAGATGCATAGAGTTGAGTATAGGGCATCATGCTATTTTTAGGAGTGTTCTTTCCAAGTGGGCAGGTGCCCTGAATTAAATTTAAAATATCTGGAGAACAGCATTATTCAAATTTCAGCTTAGTAAATCCTAAATTTAATGACCCGTATATATCCCTAAATAAATCTATTAAATGACCACTATAGGCACCCAGACCGCTTAATGAAGTGGTCTGGGTGCCAGGTCCATCTAGGATTAACCCTTTCTGCTGTAAACATAGCAGTTTCAGAGAAACTGCTATGTTTACCTATGGGTTAATCCAGCCTCTAGTGGCTGTCTCATTGACAGCTGCTAGAGGCGCTTCCGCGCTTCTCACTGTGATTTTCACAGTGAGAAGACGCCAGCGTCCATAGGAAAGCATTGAGAATGCTTTCCTATGAGACTGGCTGGCTGAATGCCTGCGTGGCTTTTGCCGGGCATGCGCATTCAGCCGATGACGGGAAAGGAGGCGGAGAGTCCCCACCGCTTAGGGAGCCCGGCGGTGGATAAAAGGTGAGTGTTTAACGTCTTCCTCACCCTAGAGCCCGGTGGGGGGGGGGACCTTAAGGGTGGGGGGGACCTAGAGACCCTATAGTGCCAAGAAAACAAGTGTTTTCCTGGCACTATAGTGGTCCTTTAAATGTTCGGCTATCCTTCACATTATGCTGATTACAGGCAATATCAAGACACCCCATAAACCACTGAGCAGTCACAAACAAGCAATGAACATCTACTGTTTTGTCACTGTATCCAGTTTTCAGAATCACATGCAATGTGATGTTATGCCATCCAGTTCATTACTATGTACAGGGAATATGGCTGTTCTCCACTGACAGTCAAATGAAGGGAATTATTTCTTCACCCTATCTCATAGTACAGAAATATAGCTACAGGATATTATATCAAACATAGTTCTTTAAAGAGCTGTCCTTCAATTTCTCCTAAGTTATATACCTAGAAGCAGATAATTATGTAAAGCTTGCATTCCTGTAATATACAAAATGAGAAGACCAGCATGTTTTGTGTGTAATAAGAGTTCACTTCCCAATATATTCTTATTGTCTATCATAGTGGAAGCTGTTGAAAGTTTAGTTTATTGTAAAAAAAAATTAATTTTATTTTCTCACTTTTGACATCTCAATGGTTTCATCAAACGGCCATCACAGTGATTCTCATTATTGTCACAAGGAGAGATTCACCCATATATAGATACTACTAGGGGGTTTAAAAACAAAAACCTGAATTGACAATTTGGTATTTAAAAAAAAAAATAAAAAAATAAAAGTAGTATTAATATTGTATTTAGAAAAGATGACTCTAGTTTCCAGATCGTCAGAAAAAAATTGCGTTTTGGGGACATCAGTTGGCTTTGTTCCAGGGTATAAGTCATTGAGGAAAAAAATTTAAAACCTTGGAAAACTGTTCATTAACATGAGTTTACATTTCATGTAATATATATTGACATAGCTCAGTAATAGCCTGATTGCCTGAATAGTTACCACTTTACTTTCTGTTGGCAAAAGACAAACTGTGAGTGTCCTCTGACATCTCTGGTATCTTGCCATTCTGCTTATGAGAATACCAATGTGTGCAAGGCAAACACTGGTATGAAGGCCCCTATCATTGTCTATGAGAAAAGCGTCTCAGGAAAACTTGGCTTTTATTCTGGGAGTGTTCACTTGACTTCTCACTATATGCACTACCATATAAGATATAATCATGTTCTGCACTTTATTTTTTGTTAATGTAAATAAGGAATTTCCAAACAAAATAATGCATAAAAATCCAGTTTGAACATAGAAACTTATATTAATATATTACCCCCAATTAAAATAAGCATATTGTCTAAAAAGGAATATTAGACATAACAGTACAGTTTATTATGAAACTGTAGAAATTATGATGGCATTTTGTTAAGTAGCAATGAGTAATATTATTTATTTAACCAAATTACATTACGTTTTAGATGTTTGCAGTCCGGCTGGAGTTGGCCATCTTGGAAGTGCATCTTAATTTTCAAAGTTCAGTATCCATGACAGTGATGTAAAAAAAAATATATATATATTTTTTTAAAGTCCTATATAATATTTAAAAATAGATATTTAAAAAATAAAATAAAAAAAATTGAGTTGATTAAAAATGTAAAAAAATATATTTTTTTGTTCTATATAGCTATTTATTTTGATGTATGATTTCTTTTGAATGTGCAGGGTCTTTTCAATGTACAGAGTGATTGACAGGGAGTTAAAATGGAAGCCCCAATTTGCAGGTTAAAGGTGTGGATTTCTAAATTTTATTTTTCATACCTCACTTTTAAATAAGTAGGGATAAGTGACCGTTCCCTTTTCCAAAACTGCTTTGTATTGTCTTGCTCAAGAAAAAGTAGATATTCTGAAGTCATCCTTCAGTAGTAGACTTTTCTGCTTTGCTGGACTATAAAAGCACCCCGATTGTGCATGTGCTGAGCACCCAACATACTCTTTGTTGGTTTCACTGTACTAACAGATCTTATAGTAAATGTATTTATTATTTTGTTTCTCATGAACGCATTAATCCATAGTGTCTTTTATTTTCCCATTTACAGTTCTGGTTTCCTGTAATCACTCTTATGTTTTGGCACATTGCAATGAATCCTCCCTTCCCTTCTCATTTAATATACCATCTCCTGCCTGCCTGCCTGTTCATCACCGTTCATCCACCTTGACCACCCCATTGTACAAGCATGAAAAGTACTTTGTGTTTTTTGGCAGCTAATTGAAGATCTCACCAATAACTTCTGTGGAGTTATAGGTCAAAATATTTCATGTGCTCTGTCCATCAACCATTCTAGCTGCATGTCTTACTGTTCATTTTACCCTACTTGCACTGGACTGTCATGTTACAGATCTGTTTGATTTTCTTTTTTGGTTAAATATGAAAAAAAAAAATATATATATATATATATTTTCACAAAGGGTTTTTAAATGGGCAAAATGTTGAACTCTGACTATGAAAGTGTTAAGCTTTATGTTTATTGCCTTTTCTACCTCCTACAAGGGTGATGTCATTAATAACCATAAGACCACACAAGTCTTGAAAAAAATAAAACCAACATTGTTTCTAAGAATTTACTTTGAAGTTATTGTGTCATATAACCTGTATGTTTATTGGTCAAACTGAAGAATAGGCGTAGAGGGACTTTATATAGAGTCACCAGAACAACTACAGATTAATGTAATTGTTCTGGTAAATAAAGTCAGTACAAGCATGCTTTTTGCAGTAAATACTGTTTTTTGTTTTTTTTTTAAGAAAAGGCAATGTTTACATTACAACCTAGGGATACCTCAACTGGTCACTCCTCACATGGCTACTAGAGGTGCTTCCTAGGGCAGTGCCGCACAGTGTGCAGCACTGACATTCACGGTCTCCACGCTCGAAAAGCCAAGATGACTCCGTTCTAGAGGCAAAAGCTCCTCTATTGGCTGTTAGGAAGACCGCCTTTAGAGGTGTATTTAACACTAGCCTTACTAGTTTAAAACATACAGGACCACTGCACCCAGAACATGTCATTGAGATAAAGTGGTCTGGGTGCCTGTAGTGGCCCTTTAATATCTCTGTGGGGTATACATGTTTCCAAGGGTTTTAAATTGTTTCTATACAAAAGAGCAATAACCTATTTGATGATAATCCTGATCACTCATGCTTATGTATTCTTCCTATACTCAGCGGAAGAGATTTCTCATCCTTAATTCTCTGAAAAGGCAGTGTCTAGAGTGATATGGTTGCAGGGACAGGCTATAGACACCAGAACCACTACATTAATCTGTAATGGTTCTGGTAACAATAGTGTCCCTTGAATACTTAAATTTTCCCCCCAAAAGTTAATGTTAAGTGTACCTATCCTTCTTCCTTTTTCATTCAGGAGAGAAGGAAGGAAATATCCTCCATTTCCATGCATGTTTGCTAAACTTGTCTATTGCTGCACTGTACAAGAGATTAATAACCTCACGTAAAATTTACGACGTTTCGGCCGTGAGGCTTTAATCTTGTGTACATGATAGATGATTAAGGCCAAAACGTTGTATCCTTGTTTTGTGCTCATTCCACAAAAAAACTGCCTTCTTCACCACAAGCTATGCAGCGTGTGGCTCTTTACTTGTGGCTCTTCATTTATGTATATATTTGGAGGTTAGCGGACCTCTACCACAGAGCTCCGGAGCTACTGATACCAGTGTGCAATACTCTACTATTTGTCTGCCTACAATAGAATTGGTAAATACTAGCACAAATAAATAAAAATAACTAATATTTATAATAGGTAGATTAGAGAGGCCCATTGACTCTAAAAAAAAGCCACTAAACCATTCATATTTTTTGCATGCATGTTTTCCGTTGTCACCATGCAATCCTTTTTTAATTTATTTTTTGTCCTAACTGCAAATACATTGTCAATAAGGTGACCTACGTGCCCGTCCATATGAGGACCACAATCCATTTATTGGGTAAGAATGCCTAGGTCTCAGTCTGGGGGTTCCTGGTTACACTTTTAGCTAAAAGCGTTACAATTTGTTTTGTTTCTGTAACACTGGTGTGCTATGATGTCTAATAACTATTTAAAGGCAGATACATCTTGTTCTTGTTACAGTAAAATCAGAATGTTTGCCCCTTATGCTTGTGAAGTGTTTTCTTTTCTTAAGAAAGTCTGCTTCTTCATCTTGTAAGAAACTAATGTGTAGTTTTAAAGATGCAAACATAGATAGGCTTGTAGTCTCTGGGACAGTTGGCAGGATAGTGGTTATTAAACCCCAAGATGACCAACATTAAAGTTTAATTTCCCTAGATTCTGTGAATTTGTGTAAATGACAAGGCGTAAATAAAAAATTACATTTCTATTTTACAAGTATTGTGAAACATAAAAAATCAGTGAAAAGAAAATCACTAATAGAAGCCTAAGTTAAAACTAAAGAAAGTTATAAAGATATAGAATGTAAACCTACAACAGTTATATATTTGAGACTGTGACTAAAGAGGGCCTAATTAATAAATTATCCGTTCCAAACCCTCAAATGAAGACTATATGTGGTTGCTGATGCTGTGATTTGATGCATTAGATTGGTGGATTGTAACGATGGCTACACCGTATGGCCATGCTGTTTCTATATGAGAAGCATTTGATCGGTCAAACATTTTTTTGCTATTTTCACATAGAATGTTGCTTTACATTTAATCTTCTTCTGTACATCTGCACCACTTTATCATTTTAGGACAATCATGTTTGAATGTTGACATTTTAAAGGGACAGTTTAGACACCATAATAATTTTATCTAAATTAAGTTATGGTACCAGGAGGCCCACCGAGCACACTCTACCTTAAGAGATTAAACCGTTCAAGAAAGTGAGCCTTGGGTCCCCCAGGCAGTATCAGGTTTCAGAAATCTGTTGCGGGGTATTTTCTTGTTGTGATGGGGAGTCACTAATTGGTTGAGAGCATCAGCTGATCACTCTTGGCCAATCAGCGGCGCCACTGCCAGGTGGCATTCCGCGCTTCCTGAAACTAAGATTTCAGAAGCTGGATACCACCTGGGAGACTTGAAGATCAGTGCCCGAGGCTCACTTTGGGGTTAAACAGTCTGTGAAAGGTTTAACCTCTTAATCCAAGAGTGCACCGGGGATCCTCCTGGCACCATAACTTCATTTTGATGAAGTTGTTATGGTGCCTGGAGTGCCCCTTTAAATATGCACAAATAGACAGATCCATTTATCCTAGAGTTTCTCCAGGTGAGGGTAAACTTTGGGTTTATTCACTAAACAGTAAGCTGTTCATTCACTGGTAGTTGGTGAAATAACGTGCCACATTATGATCTTGTCATTCACCTATTTGCCAAAAGCTGTTTCACTTTTAATAGATACTTTATGTATATATGTGCACATAATATATTTTATAGGTTGTCTTTACATTTTAATTATGAAATGTTATATGAAGTAATTATAACAGCATGAATTTTTTTACATGTTTTTTCTTTTCTTAAACTTTTTCTTTTCAGTAATCCCTGGCTGTGTACTGAGTAATATTTCTACTGTGATGGAATCGTCTCTTCTTTATCTAGTACCTGGGTTTAATCTTGTGGTTTAAGACTGATTTATATATAGTTGTGGTTGTGGTGGTTTTCTTTTTTTTTCTTATTTTTTTTTAGATGAAGATATTCCTTAAAGGAACACTCCAAGCACCATAACCACTATAGCCAGGAGTCCCTTGGTGCCTTCCCATTGGAAGAAATCAAACCATTTTAGAACAGTTTGACTACTTACCTAGTGTCTTCGAGCGACACTCCCTGCGTCCTCTAAATGGGCCAAAGAAACAAAAGCGTCCATTAGCTCTCCTGAACTAAACCATGTAGTGCAGGGCTAGCTCATTGGCTGATCAATATCCTTGCAGAAGTTGGCTCAGACAAAGACATTCTGGCTTTCTGTATGAAGTAGTGAAGACCGTGAGCGATACCTGGTAGACCCAAGTTAGAAGATAAACAGCGTAAACAGTTTGAGCCCTAAAAATGAGGGCACCAAGGCACTCCTAATACCATAGCCACTAAAATGTACTGTAGTGAATATAGTTCTTGAAGTATTCCTTTAACAAAGAGACTTGCAACCTCTCTAAGCATTGTGGAGTATCACTCCTATCACACTCAAGCAGCCAGACCATTACTGCATATTATGGGAGTTGCTGTACACTGCACTTTCGAATGTCTAATTGTGAGATATATTTACTTAGAAAAATTGAGGACAAGAAAAAATGCCAAAAATTTACAATTCCTTTGCCACTTCTTCAAATTTCTCAGTTTTGTGAACAATCTACCATGTGTACATAGCACAGGTTGGACTGTGAGCATCTATATTGTAAAAGTTAACTCTCATTTGTGCTGTCACTAGTCCTGTAAGTGGCGTAATCTTGTTTTTAGTTTTGCTGGCAAAATAAAACCTGCTTTTAAAGAGTTTAACCCCTTAAGGACACATGACGGAAATATTGTCATGATTACCTTTTATTTCTAAAACTGTGTATAACTTTGTGTTTACTACTGATAACTGTAAATGTGTGTTTTTTTTTTTTTTTTCCTTAAGGTAAAAATGTAATCCCTATGTTGTACTGTATACCTTTTTTTTTCCACTGTTCACTAATGTTATTAGCAAAAAAATAGTTGCAAACAGGGTCATGTTTGTGAGTTGGAGTGTCACTGTTTACGTTCATGTGTTTTTATAACGAATTGTAAGATATTTTCATTTTCACAGTTTTCATATCATAATGGTAGCTGCTATTGAGCAGTTGCAGTTTTGTTAGAAAAGGGTCATTGTGCATGCACAAATGAGCCGAATTAGGGGGTATTAAAGAGAAATGTTGGCAACAATATCACTACATTGGGCAGAATCATGGTATGATGTTACTGGCCCTGTTTATTAGCCATGTGTCAAGAATGGCCTTTGAATCCCAGATATGAGAGCCCATGACATGTACTGGTTTTTGCAGAGACTACTTTTTTGGGCAGAATGTTGAAATTGCTTCCAGTACCACATTTTGCTATTTGCCATCAAGCGTCCCTTGCAAAAAGTAGATGAGCGCAGGCTGCTTCCTGTGAAATATTCCATAGAGGCTTATGGCATCTTATTTCACATACAAGGTCCTACATTCTTTAAAGGAACACTATAGGGTGAGGCACACACTGGTATTCCTGACCATATAGAGTTAAAAACAATATCTAAAAAATCTTTAATCCATTCTGTTGGTGCTGGCTCTGCCCCTGATCTGTCTCATTGGCTGACATAATCAGAAGTGATGATCTCAGCCAATCACAATGCTTTCCCATAGGTGACAAGACAGTGTTTACTGCAAAGAACCTACAGGGACTGACTATAATAACCAGATGAACTACATTAAGCTGCAGTGGTTCTGATGACTATAGTGTCCCTTTAAAGGACCACTCTAGGCACCCAGACCACTTCAGCTTAATGAAGTGGTCTGGGTGCCAGGTCTCGCTAGGATTAACCCTTTCTTCTATAAACATAGCAGTTTCAGAGAAACTATGTTTATAAATGGGTTAATCCAGCCTCTAAAGCCTCTAGTGGCTGTCTCATTGACAGCCGCTAGAGGCGTTTGCGTGCTTCTCACTGTGAAAATCACAGTGAGAAGACGCCAGCGTCCATAGGAAAGCATTCTAAATGCTTTCCTATGAGACTGGCTGAATGGCACTATAGTGGTCTTTTAAGGCTCCTCCATAAAAACCCATTTTGTGTCCTCCCTCTCCCAGTGGTTTAATCTACCAGGAGCTAAAGATGAAGTTCTGCCAAAAGTCCAGGAGCACTCCTTAATCAAGCAGTTATGGTGTATAGATCATGCCCTTGCTGTTTCACTGCTCTATTCTCTGCCATCTAGGAGTTAAATCACTTATTTATTTTGCCCTAGTCACACATCCTTGCAAGCACTTGCACAGGCTTCCTAAATACTCCATGTAAAGTTTGATCTAATGTTTACACTTCCTTTATTGCAAATGCTATTTAGAATTGAGGATTAAGACTACAGAGGCGTGATCTACATACAAAAATTGCTTCATTAAGGAAAAGTTGTTTTGGTGACTATAGTGTCCCTTTAAGTAATTTTATCTACCCAGGTGCAACCATGGAGGCAAACGTGCAAAAAAATAAAATGAAACGACCCCCACACGTGACATTGTCACTTATACAACCACCATCCTTTGCAAGAGATTGTAAAGTAATGCTCTTTCTAAGAAGCCTGAGGACTGAAACATAGCGTTAAACATTAAACTGGGATCTTCTAGAAATTTCGAATATCTGGACAAATCAGAAAAATTCACCAACCTTTGGCCTAAAACTTGCAATTCCCATTTTAGCTCCCATCAGTTTCTTTTTTGTTAACTAACACTGTTGGAATTCTGATGTTGTTGTGCCATTCCATATAGACTATAAACATATGCCACCTTCATACACACATACTAGGAATTGTTGTGTCATAGTCACTAGTAACCTGTAAACTGTTGTTAATCGTGAGTAATATTTATTTGTCCAAAGCAGACCAAGGAAATAATTTGTATGTATTTCACATACCCATACCACACATTACTCTCTCACTGGTAAGAAGAAACCTGCTACAAAATGACTGTTGCCAGATTGTATCTTATTTATTGTAGGGGGATTTTTATAACCAATGTTTATTAAAACATAATTCTGTCAATTAATGGTGAGTCAGAAACCAGAATGCCTGTAAGATTCCATTTAAGGGCTATTCATTAAATTGTGATTTGTCAGGAATTAAACCACAATTTGCACAATTGCCAAATTGGAAAAATATAATTATTAGTCAGCTAACAATGTCTGTATTCGAATACGAGAGGAGTCTAATATTGAGCAACTTCCTTCTTTTTTTTTTTTTCTTTTTTTTTTTGTAGCTTCGGCTGCATATACATATCATAAGGACTATTCCAGGGATTGGCATTACCCTGGTATCTAAGGGAACAGAGCTTGATTTAGGGAGACTTTGCTATCCTATGGTGCTTATTTTAGAGACAAAAAGGCTTCCTAAGTAATGTCTGTAGCATTTGACGTCACACAGTTTGAAGGTGTACATGGAATCTGTATTTGCTGTCATACTGCTTTTTATAGCACTTTGTTTATATCACTTGATGTGTTAAATTTGTTTCACAGGTTTAACATTATGAGCAATTAAAGTCATTTTCTAACACGTTATGGTGTACTTTTTATGATCCCAGCTCAATGTTGTGAATGCTTGTCTGTGCACGACACCCAGGGTGTCTGACTTGTGAAATGATCTGTGCAAGTCATTCAGCTAGATTTCGCTTCCCTTAATTTATCTTTTTACAATGTAAGAAAAAGAAATGCATTCGTTCCTGTTTAAGAAAAATAAATGTTTGTTTAAATGCCTTAAAAAATAAAAATAAAAAAATGTATGGAACCAGTGTTTATGGTGAATCCACATGTGTAAATGTTAGATGTTTTTAAACTTACATTTTAAAGTAGGAGTATAGATTAATAGAAAACGCTAGAAGTAACCTGCACACTACCCATGATGTAAATGATTAAAGAATAGGGTTTTTGGTTGTTTTAATTTAATTTTACAGTACAGTGCTACTAAAAATGTATCTAAAAGTGTGAATTGGTGTTTAAAGTGTTGCCCAAGACTGATGGGAGTTTGATTGCAGAGTATTATTATTGATAGGCAGATTCTTCCTTTCTGACAGTCCTCAGACACGATTCCTATGAAGCTCAGTGAACAGTAAGGCCTCAAATCTGTAGTAAATAAATGTAGGCCTCAGGGAGCAGCCATCTTGCTTTTTGGTAAGCCAACTTGTATAATCAGCAATTGTTAAGTTATATGTAAACACGGACCAAGGTAAATAGTTATGGAGACTATACACACTAAGGATTCATTAAAAATGTTATACTTATAGGGTGCATTTCTATTCAATTTATTTATTTTTACAGATAATTTTATTACTTTAAAAGTCATCAGCACACTGTTGGTTATTCAAAATTGTAAAAACCTAATTACAAAACAAACAGAGGCAAACACTATAGATTGTCAAAGTCTGTAAACATTTTTTTTATTTTTTTTACCATAAGGATAAACTACAAAAAATAGAAAAATAGTCTTGTTTAATATAAATACATTAAATTACAATATTAAAGGAACACTGTAGTGTCAGGAATACAAACGTATATTCCTGTCCCTTTAATGTTAAAAAAACTATTTAACTTCCACCTAAGCCCCCTCTGAAAAGACCTCGTTTACAGCAGAAAGACTGCAGGACATGATATACTCACCAGAACAACTACATTAATCTGTAGTTGTTTTGGTGACTACAGTGTCCCTTTAATGCTTGTCGTAAACTATATTATTATTGATATAGCGCCAAAAAATTCTGCAGCGCTCTACAATATATAGAACATCAAAACAAAATGGGGTGGAATTTAAAATGGATGCATTAAAATATAACGGCTAGATTTTATTAGAAGAGATGACATTCTCTCTCTTGCAATTGAAAGCAGATTCTCCCATTTGACTTGTAAGGAAAATTATATTTTGTTACAAGGGATAAACTAAATCAAACCCAAACATTAAAAAGGCCGCTCCAGACACTAGAGCCATTTCGTTGCATTGAGTTGGTTATAGTGCCTGGAGTCCCCTGGTCAACTTCCTCCACTCAATGCTAAAACATTTTTAATTCTGAAACTTATCTATGGCATATAGTTTGTTCCTGAGAATACATTTGCTGGAAATATACATATAAATCTTAGCTGTAAATAACTGTCAAATTGCAACCACACAACAAAATTTAGGTAACGACAGTCAGAAATGTGGCTATTTTGGTAAAAAAAAAAAAAAAAAGTTTACAAATCACTGTTCTGTTAACCACACCATGTTGTTTGTTTTTTTTAATATTTTTTTCATGTGTTTTTTTTCCCTCCTTTTTATGCTTCTTTAAGAAAAGCTCTGATGTTGGCTTTAACACATGTTTCAGTATTAAAAATGCTTTTTCTTTGGCTGATTTTTGTGTGTTTTTTTTGTTTTTTTTACAATCCCTTTTTTGTTTCCCATTGTATTTTGCTTTTTTTTTTTGCTCACTTCTGATAATTGCTTATTTTCTTTCTCTTTTCTCTCTGTAGCTTCTTTTAATCTGTCTCACCATCTGTGTAAAGGAGAAGACTGCTCTTTATAGAAGATGTAGAGGTCCCATTTTTTTTGTCTGGAAATGGGAAAGAAATTCTAGATTAAAAACAAAAAACAAACACTAATATTCCTAACTATCTCTGTCAATAATTCCAAGGCTGTTCTTCTGTGACTTGCATGGTATTTAACATTGGGATTGAAAGAAAAGATCTAATATTGCAGGGTTTATAGCACATATGGAAAATAATACAAAACAAACACATTTTACTACATATTAATGTTCATAAGTAATTTAGTACTTATGCATGATTGCCTTGGCCATTTCTGATGAAGGCTAATGTATATTGCAATGTCAAATACCCAGAGCGATGCTCAGGTCAAAGTTATGAAAGCCATTTGGAAAAAAACAAAAAACGTTCTGTACTTCCCAGTGGAGTGACTCTTGAAGGCAGAATTTTAGAATTTGAAATAAAATATGTGGGCTATGTTTATTCATGTTTATACAAGCGCTATAGAAGTACCAATAATAATAATTCTATGTATTTGAATTTTGTCTTTTTTTAAAAAAAATATTATTATGGAATAAGTCCATGTAATTTGGTTATTCCAAATTATTTGTGCAAATGCAGCATTAGTGCATTCAGTGCCCCAAGATACCCAGCAGTTGTATATTTAGTAGGAGCGGTCTATTTAATTTGTATTTATTTCTGCTGGGTATTACCAAAAGTCACCCGCAAATAGTATATGTAAACTTGCATGAGCCATTCATACTATGAAATAATGAACCTGCAGCTTTAAAAAAAAAAAAAAAAATGTTTTTAGTTTTTTTTTTCCCCTACCCTGTCAGTAATTTATTTTGAAGAAAAGTGTGTGATAAAAGGCAATTGCTGACCTGTACTTACTAAACAGTGTAGTCTGTTCTTCTATGGTTTGTGTGTTACATTTTATTGCTGTCATATATTTTTTTATTTTTTTTTTAAATTATTTTTATTATTACTTGTGAGGGATGTTTTCTGCTCCCTTATGAGCATATTTTCTGGCAGACATCTTAATCCATATATATCAACCTTTTATTTACTTACCATTCAATTATTATTTCAATAAGAAATAGCAAAATGTAGACCTAAAAAAAAGCCAAGAAACAGAATTTGTTTTTGTCCAACTTTACTATTTATAGCAAATATTATTTTTAATTTATAGTTCAATCCTAATTACTTAGTGATTTATACATTTAAATATTTTACGAGTTAGAAAAATGCTACTAAAAGCAATATTTTTGGGCTACTGTATGAGCAAGGCAAGATGGCTGCTCCTTAAATTATACAATTGGTGTAATCATTGAAGCTTTTAGCCACTTTATGCTGTATGCAAAATGGCTGCTTCTTACATTCTGATTTAGGTCCGCTCTTGTATGCTAGGACAAAATGGCCACTATAATAAATAAGTAATATTCTAATAGAATCTTTCAGCTTTTGTAGGTTATGATGCAAGATGGCCGCTCTTACATATAACGAGTTGCATTCTTATTGCAAGATGGCTGTTTCTTACTTTCCAATGAGCAAAACTGTAATTGTCAGCTACTGTATGCTAGAAGCACAAGTTGGCCACTCTGTGCTTGTAATGAGGAACATTTGCATTGACGCTTTGAACTACTGCACTCTAGAAGGGCAACTTGGCTCCTTCATAGTCATAACAAGCTGTGTGCTAATCCAAGCTGTCATGTAATGTTTACTTGGAAGGCTAGATGACTACTCCTTGTAAAAACTAGTACTATTCCCATTAAAAGTTTCAGAAACACAAAAAAAATTTTAAAAAAAAATGCCTAAGTTCAGGTGTTAACATTCAAAAGCGTATGCTAAATATTAACTAGAGGCTTATATATACATTTATCTCTTTGTTTGAGTACCTATACAGATATATCCTGTATTCACAAAATTGTGAAATTCTTGATTTCAAAGTAGAGTTGACAGACCGCTATTTTAATGAAAAGTTTAATTAAAAAGAAGCGGAATCTCTGAAATTTATGTGTTAAAACACAGACCTTCGGTATTCTCAACAAGCACTCATCAAGCACTTATTTAAGTTGTGATCTGACTGTGATATTCAGAGAATTCAGGACAGCTACAATGAAGCATCTCGACTGCCACTTAATCTACAAAATATTCAGATGAGCCTTGCTAGCAAATTTCAAGCTCCATTCTGCACCTCTTTTCTACAGTGTGTGCAAAAATCAAAATAGAAAAAGTAGTTAGGTGTGATCACCTGCCAAGTACTTTCCTGGAACTTATCTGAAGAGTCAAATACTAGGTTCACCAAATAACACCACAATAGGTACAAAATTAAGCATTCAAATGGGCAATAGTGCCAATGCTTTTAAAGGAAAATCAGAGTAGTAAAATCATTCCCTAGCACATGAAAAATACTAAAAATAAATTAAATAAAACTTACTCTCTAGGCCTTGCGCGTTTCGTGGTACACAAATACTTATTCGTAGACATTCCCTGAGAGCACAAGAAACTCTTTTAAATAGGTAGGCATACTTTCCCAAATTAACCTCTAGAAGTCAATCTAAACTCAATACATCTAAACAAGGAGAGCAAAAAAAAATACATAATCTCAAAAAGATGAAGTTAAAAATAATTGAAAATAGAAAAAGTTAATAAAACCCTGCTAGCAAATGTTAACCAAAATTTGGCACCTATGTCTTTGTGTGTATATGACACAAACAATTAATATAAAGGTATTTTGTAGTAATTAATAATTACATTTGTCTGTAGCCCTGTTATAATGGAGTCTGCCAATAATGCTAAAACACCCTCTTCCACAAACCACTTCAAAAATGTTATACAGTGGATTGTTTTTCAAATGGGGATTTACCTTAGAGTGCTTGGTTAATAAGGCTTAAGGTAACAATATTGCCAGTTTCATTGGAATATATGCCTGATATGATATTCCAAGATGTGGTTGCTCTGTACTTTATGCCAGATGATTAGAATTTAGTGAGAAACTGCTTTGAGATCATGTCACTTTGAAATTCTAGGTCACCTCTAATTCGGAGAACATGGGGCTGTGCCTGTTAAAAAGCAGGGGGGGGGGTTTGTGTCGTTTTGCCACTGATCACTTTGTATTCAGAGTACAGTAGACTACAGTTCTATGTTTTAGCCCTTAAAGGTGCCAGAAGGTTATTTTCTTATCCTGCTCCTGTTGCACAACCACTTCAGATTTCTTTGAGAACTACAACGTCCATATGCTCTCCAAGAATATAGCTGACAGTGAATTATGGAAGTTGTAGTCCTACAATATCTTGAGCCACAATTTCACATGCTTGGGTTAAATCAAGCAAATTGGTGGTTGTGATTTTTATACATTGCACCTTGGAGGACATTAAACCAATATTACCTCATTCTTAATTGGCAAAAGCTTCTAGTTACACTTATCGGACACTGTTTAGGACAACAGATGCACCACAAGGTTTTGTTGGACTACATGAAAAGTCAACCAGTGTTGGGTAGCTGAGAAAGATAGTCGGTCAACATTCGGAAGCCATTCGTTGCCAAATCTTGCTCGAAGTGCACTTTGTAGAGGTAACTACTAACTGCAGGAGAAATATGGTAATGTGTCGGAGATTCTTCCAAAGGTATAGCTGTGAAAGATGATTTAGATTAATTTGTCCTTTTAGCTAGACATATTCTACCTTTTCTCCAACAGTGAGTTGTCATTTTGCTTCAAGTATGCATTAAAATGAAGTGTGGCCAGCACCACTGAAAAAATTTCCATTCTGAACATAGGACCAGCACTATCTCACGTAATACCTTTCTGTACATTTTCAATAAAATAATGATTAAATAAAATCCTTTGTGTGTCTGTCTATTTAAAAAGTGTGCCTGTATTTTGTTTTAAATATCTTTATTAGTGTCATGTCAGAGGCTTTGTTTACAAATGTACTTTACCATAACGTTTAGTCGCCTTCGCAGAGGCGTGTTTCTCATTGCATCAAACATAACATTTAGTTGCCTGCGCAGAGGTGGTTTGATCATCTGACATATATAGCGTGTTGTGTGTGTGTGTGTGTGTGTGTTGTTCGGTAATTGTGGTGCGTATTCTGGTGCATGTTTTGGGTCACGTCGCGTGTTGTAGCGCTTCTTGACGCATCTATTGAGGGGTCTGCCCATGTTGATTGCGTTTGAATCATTCTTAAGGTTGTGTGTGGTTGATCATTGTGTGGTGTGAGTACTTGTAGCGTTTTGGACGTCTCGGTTGCTGTCTCTTATTTGGCGTCTTTCCCGCCCACCCCCGCTGTGGCCCCTGCCGTCTTGTCCTATTGTATTCCTTGTTGTCGTGTCGGGATCTGCTGGGGTATAATGGTTGGCACGGTGTCTGAAGTGTCAAGTGGTTTCGCATCCTTGAGTTGTCGCTGTGTAGTTCCTTGGGTCGGGGTGTTTCCATTACTTCGGTCTTGCAGATGTTCTAAGTATTTGACAGTTGTGTTAGTGTGTCTGTTTTGGTTTTTTGTTTGTTTAGGAGGGGGGCCGTTGTAGCGGCTCGTACCTCATGTGGTCGTGTCGGATGTTTGGGGGGTGTTTATGTTGCGCTGTCGTGTCTTGTTCAGTCTGTACTTGTCTGCTTTAGTCTCTCGGATTGTTCCCTGGTGTCTGTGTTGTGTGGGGTTGGTTATGTCATGCGGATATCGTCTTAGCGGGTGATTGCGGTTGTGTTATGTGTTTTCTTCTCTTCGTCTGGTAGTGTGGCCTTCTCTTGTGTCTGTGGTCTTTTGTTTGAGTGTGTTAGTGTGTGTGTGTGTGTGTGTGGAAGGGTCCTGGGGGGGGGTGAGTGAGGGGGTTGAGGGTTGGTGGTCAGTTATCTTGTCTCCCGACACCGCCCCGGTCCGCCCAGCCCCGGGGCCTCCCGAACCCCCGCCTGGGTCTGTCATTCTCTTTCATTCATCTTGGGAGAGTTTGGTGTGAGGCAGCATTGGAAGGGGTCTGATGTGGTGTGGTGTAGCCAGTGGAACCAGCGTTGTATGTAGCGGTCCCTTTTCCTCGGGGTGTTTGCTTTCATGTCTTCGAACTTCCGTGTCGTTTCCACTTCTTCCACCCAGCGTCTCAGTGGGGGTGTGGTGGTCTGCTTCCAGAAGATGGGGATGGTCACCTTGGCCGCATTGAGTAGTCTGGGGATAAAGGATCTGATATATGCCTGCGTTGGCATGGTTGTTTTGTGTAGAAGGAAGGCGGCTGGGGTCTCTGGCAATAGTTCATCAGTCATATCGTGTATAGTGTTCCTGATCATCTCCCAGTATGGGCGGATCTTAGGGCATGTCCACCAGATGTGTGTGAACGTTCCCACTGCCTCCTCGCACTTCCAGCAGGTGTCTGTTATCTCCGGGTTTCTGGCGTGGAGCGTCGATGGTGTCAGGTACCACTTGGTGAAGATTTTGTATGAGTTCTCCTGTAAGCGCGCTGAGCCCGATGTCTTCTGTATCAAGATGATGAGTGTGTCCCATTCTGCCTCCGTCATGGGTTCGTCTAGGTCTTCCTCCCACTGTCTGATGCATGGGGGTGCCAGTAGGTATCTGCTTGTAATTAGAACCGAGTAGATCTGTGATATAGCTCGTGGCGGTTCCTTGTCTTGCGTACATAGGAATTCAAATGATGTTGGTTCTCTCAGGAGGGATGGTTTCTGAGGGATAGATCGGGCGTATTGTGCCATTTGCGCTCTCTGGAGTGTGTGCATGAAGGTGAGTGGTCGGTCCGGGAATAATTTGTTCAGTGGCCGGATGTCGAAAGGGCACTGGAGGACATCCTTCATGCGGATGATTGGCTTGTGTCCTATTGGGTTCGGGGTTGGGCCCATGTCTCCTGCCGGGAAGTCTGGGTTGCCTCTCAAGGGGAGGAGCGGGCCTAGGTCCGTCGTCCGGTATTGTTTCGTGCCCTGTCTGTGCCAGACTTGCATGGTAGCCACCACGAATGGGTTGGTGATGGGTTTGGGTTTGTATGCTGTTTTAGGAATACATGGTAGTGTTCTGAGGTCGCAGTTGGTCGTGTCCGATTCTAGTTGGGTCCATGGTTTCGTGCCGCTGGCCACCGTCCAACTGATGATTCTAGTGAGGTGTGCCGCGTGGTAGTACTTTTCAAAGTCTGGCAGTGCCAGTCCCCCACGTAGTTTGGGAAGGATCAGTTGGGTGTGTGCTACCCGGGGAGATCTGCCCTTCCATATAAATCTGCAGACTTCCATTTTCAGTGCCTTGAAGAATGATTGTGGGGCTAGTATCGGGACTGTTTGAAATATGAATAGCAATTTGGGGAGCAGTGTCATTTTGACCGCGTTTACCCTTCCTAGCCATGATATGTAGTAGGAATTCCATTTGTGCAGTTTCTCCGTTGCCTTTTTCAGTATTGCGAGGTAGTTGTGCGTGTATAGGCCAGCTGGGTTGGGTGTAAGCCAGACCCCTAGGTATCTCATTCGGTGGTCGCTTCAACGGCATGGTTGTCTTGGGATCGTTTTTCTAACTGCGTGGTTGATGTTCAGGTTCAAGATCTCTGACTTCGAGTGATTGATTTGGAGGTTCGAAAGTCAGCCATATAGTTCGAATTCTGTCTGTATTGCCCGGAGTGAGGTTTCCGGGTTCGTGACCACGAACAAAAGGTCATCTGCGTATGCCAGGATTTTATGGTGCGAATTTCTGATCCTCATTCCTTGTATGTCTGTATTCCGTCGGATCTTGTTGATGAAGGGCTCCAGTGTCAGTGTAAACAGCAAGGGCGAGAGTGGGCAGCCTTGCCTGGTACCGTTGTGGATCTGGAAAGCATCCGATAGTGCACCGTTAATCCTGATCCGTGCTGTTGGGTTTGTGTATAGCGCCGTCACCCAGGTGAGGTATTTTGCCCTGCGCCGAATCGTCGGAGAGTTTCGAACATCAGTTCTCAGTCCACTCTGTCGAACGCTTTTTCCACGTCCGTTGACAGGAGTAGTACCGGTGTCTTTTGTGTTTTGGTGTGGGCTATGTTGTTCAGGGCTCTGATGGTGTTGTCCCCTTCTCGTAAATGTTCCTTTTTGTGGCATGGGGAATAATTTGTTAGTCCCCCTCAGTCCCTCCGGTTACCCATCCCCCTCCCCAAACCTTCGCGCTTGGTGGTTGTACTTGTGTATGTCCCCTTAGCTGTTACTCACAGTTCAGTGTGGTCTCGCTGTGGCCCGTTGGTCCCCCCAGGCTGTGTGGTGGTCTGTTTACTGCTCACGCCTTGCTTGGCCCTGCTTTCAGTCATGGTGGCGTTGGTGCTGGGGCCTTTGGGAGTCTTGATCTGGTCTGCGTGGTTGCTGCGGTCCTGGTGGTTGCTGGAGGAATGACCTCGCCAGCCAGTCGGGTATTTGTACCGGCGGGAGGCCTAAGGTGCGCAGGAAGCTTGGGACTTCTTCTGGTTTTCTTATTGTCAGCTGGTCTGTGCCATGTTTGGCTGTCAGGGAAAATGGGTATCCCCAGCGGTACGGGATTCCTGCTTGTTGCAGGGCCGAGGTCACCAGGCGTAGGTCTCTTCTTGCTTGTAGCGTATAACGGGACAAATCTTGATAGATGGTTATACTTTGCCCCTCTCGGCATAGGGTTCCCATGCGTAATATTTCTTCCTATAGCCGATAACTATCTAGACAGCATATAATATCCCTGGATTGGACTTCTGGGCTGGCAGGGGTCTCAGAGCTCTGTGTGTCCTGACTAGGCCCATTCTGCGTATGTGCTGACCCCCCAGTACCTGTGTGAATATTTGCCTCAGCCCTTCTGTGATATTCTCAGACGGGCCTCCCTCTCTCAACCCGCGGACACGTAGGTTCAGCCTGCGGCCGCGGTTCTCTAGGTCGTCTATCCATGTGGTGAGGTAGGCCATGTCTGCTTCTTGGCCTGTGACTGCCGTATTGGTGTGCTCCAGGTCTGTCTGGAGGGCCTTGGTCGCCGCCTCAGCCACGGACATGCGGGCCTCCACATTCGTTAGGTCTGCGCCGAGTTGGTCCACCTCCTTACGTACCACACGGCCCAGGCGGTCAGAGAGGGCCTCAAAGTCAGCTTTTGTTAGGAGGTTGGGCAGTATCTCTCTCCACCCATCTTCCGGCGGCATCTGTGGCTCTGATGCAAGGGACTGGGCTGGTGAGTACCTGGCCGGGGTGGATGGAGTGGAGTCCGGTGCTTGGCTTGCAGCCTCCATTTCTGGTTGCGGCGATCGTGCACGGAGTGAAGGTAGGATCTGATTGTGTGGTCCCCCCCGGGGCCCGTGGGTCTCGGGGTGCCTCCTGTGTCGGTTGGCTTCTTTGTGCGGCCTATTTACTGTGTGCAGGCGAGCAGGATTAGCAGCTTGCTGGCATCTTTTGTGCGGGTGCCACGAGGAGCTCCGGGTTCACACGTCCATCTTGGTCGGCTGCCGGACTCGCCCCTCGCAAGTCTGTATTTTGCGAATTGATAGTTTGGTGATATTTTATTTTACATATTAAATAGTAATTTACATTATTCAAATGTTGCTGTTTTTACTGAAAAAAACAACTATCAAATCTTTCCCATCCTGCCAGGCCAAGCTCGGAATATGATTCTGGAATTACAGGTATGTGTCAGAGTGACTGTTTTGTACTGTAAATTTAGACCGTAGATGCATTTAAAAAAAATAAAAAATTTTCCATTCTTTATTTTTGCATTGACAGCAGGCACAGTACATCATCAATACACGGGCTTATGCAAAAGCCGTATCACATTTGTTTCACTTTGTTTACAAAGCGTTAGTACTGCCTCTTTATAACATTGCTTGCTTTGACATGAAAGGTTTAGTACATACGGTCAAAGGTTTTCACGTTTTGGTGGAAATAATAAAAAAAATATGAAAGGAAAAACACAACATAACTGCATTGCACATTGATATCGTTCTGGTTTGTGCCTTAAGCCATACCGCATACTCTACTTAACGGATACCTCTAGAGTGGAAGACCAGTTGGTCTGTGCTTCTCTGTCCCTCCCGGGAGCACCCTGCGCCCACAGGCACCCCCGAGCATCCACCGGCCAGAGCTACTTTGTGGCTTCCTGCGCTGCACTGGTGCCCGACACTGTATGCAAATATGTCACTAGTTTGTGACAATAAAATTTTCTTAGAATCTGTAACTTGATAGCTCCACATTGGGGAAATCTATTCTAAAATCTTAGGTTGCATTTGTCTTTGTCTTGATCAACTTTTGTTTCCCCATTTAATTGTACTTTATGTGTCTTAAATTTCGTCTGATTTGAAGAAAATCTCCAACTTCGCTATAGCCACACTGACTATATTAGTTTTGTCATTTGCATTTTAATTTGCTACAATTAAGAGTTTGTTGTCCAGCCCAATACTATTTCAATAAAATGATATAATAGGATCATGAATATAAATATATGCCTTGGTCATATGTATGACATTTAAATTGAAGACCTTTTCATGTGAGTAATCTGCCAACTAACATGTTTGGTACACAGGCGTGTCTTGTCATTACTGGTAATTATCATCTGCGTGGTGATATAGGTTACTCCTCTAGCACGTTCCATATATTGATGTCTGGGTAATTTGAGACACCATGTGTAAATAGTAGATTTTACCATGTTACGCCAACTCTAGTATGTAAGATATTTGTACCAAAGGGTGTGTGAAAAACATTGTGAATGTACATTAAGGGACACTCCAGACTGGTAGGTGATACATATATAAAAAGAAATGTAAAGCATTAAAAAGAGCCCCAAACATTTGTTGCAAAGGCACAGGATTTGCATTATCTATAGTGAGTATTTCCCACATCAGAAAGTGCCTGAAATCTCAGCACCTCCAGTACTCACAGACTATCTCTGCTGTTTAAAGGACCACTCTAGGCACCCAGACCACTTCCGCTTAATGAAGTGGTCTAGGTGCCAGGTCCCTCTAGGATTAACCCTTTTTTTAATAAACATAGTTTCAGAGGGTTAATAGGGTTAATCCAGCCTCCAACTCCTCTAGTGGCTGTCTCATTGACAGCCGCTAGAGGCGTTTGCGTGCTTCTCACTGTGAAAATCACAGTGAGAAGACGCAAGCATCCATAGAAAAGCATTGTAAATGCTTTCCTATGAGACCGGCTGAATGCGCGCGCATTCAGTCAGAGGAGGAGGAGGAGAGCTCCCCGCCTGGCACTGGAAAAAAGGTAAGTTTTAACCCTTTCCTCTCAGGGCAATATAGTGCCAGGAAAACGAGTATGTTTTCCTGACACTATAGTGGTCCTTTAATTTTGTGTGGATATCACATTGGTTTTACTTCTGCATTATCTACAGTGAGGGGAAAAAGTATTTGATCCCTTGCTGATTTTGAACGTTTGTCCACTGACAAAGAAATGGTCAGTCTATAATTTCAATAGTAGAAGTATTTTAACAGTGAGAGACAAAATAACAAGAACAAAGCATCCAGAAAAATGCATGTCAAAAAAGTTATAAATTGATTTGCATGTCAATTAGTGAAATAAGTATTTGACTCCTTTGACTTAGTACTTTGTGGCAAAACCCTTGTTGGCAATCACAGAGGTCAGACGTTTCTTGAAGTTGGCCACCAGGTCTGCACACATCTCAGAAGGGATTTTGTCCCACTCCCCTTTGCAGATCCTCTCCAAGTCATTAAGGTTTTGAGGCTGACATTTGGAAACTCGAACCTTCAGCTCCCTCCACAGATTTTCTATGGGATTAAGGGCTGGAGACTGGCTAGGCCACTCCAGGACATTAATGTGCTTCTTCTTGAGCCACTCTTTTGTTGCCTTGGCTGTGTGTTTTTGGGTCATTGTTATGTTGGAATACCCATCAATGACACATTTTCAATGCCATGGCTGATGGAAGGAGGTTCTCACCCAAGATTTGACGGTACATTCCACCTCCATGTTTGGTGGGGATGGTGTTCTTGGGGTCATAGGCAGCAGTCATCCTCCTCCAAACACGGCGCGTTGAGTTAATGCCAAGGAGCTTGATTTTGGTCTCATCTGACCACATCACTTTCACCCAGTTCTCCTCTGAATCATTCAGATGTTCATTGGCAAACTTCAGATGGGCCTGTACATGTGCTTTCTTGAGCAGGGGGACCTTGCGGGCGCTGCAGGATTTCAGTCCTTCACTGCGTAGTGTGTTACCAATTGTTTTCTTGGTGACTATGGTCCCAGCTGCCTTGAGATCATTAACAAGATCCTCCCATGTATTTCTGGGCTGATTCCTCTCTGTTCTCATGATCATTGAAACTCCACGAGGTAAAATCTTGCATGGCGCACCAAATCGAGGGAGGATGACAGTTATTTTGTGTTTCTTCTAACTGTTGTCACCTTCTCACCAAGCTGCTTGGCGATGGTCTTGTAGTCCATTCCAGCCTTGTGTAAGTCTACAATCTTGTCCCTGACATCCTTGGACAGTTCTTTGGTCTTGGCCATGGTGGAGCGTTTGAAATCTGAATGATTGCTTCTGTGGACAGGTGTCTTTTATAAAGGTAACGAGCCGAAATTAGAAGCACTCCCTTTAAGAGAGTGCTCCTAATCTCAGCTTGTTACCTGTATAAAAGACACCTGGGAGCCAGAAATATTGCTGATTGATAGGGGATCAAATGTTTATTTCACTCATTGACATGCAAATCAATTTATAACTTTTTTGACATGCATTTTTATTTATTTTTTTTAATTTTTGTTATGCTGTCTCACTGTTAAAATGCACTTACCATTAAAATTATAGACTGGTCATTTCTTTGTCAGTGGGCAAACGTTCAAAATCAGCAGGGGATCAAATACTTTTTTCCCCCTCACTGTAAGTAGCGTCAGAGTTGGTGGAATTTGAGTGATGGTAGAGTGTCCACCCCCCTTTTTTTCTCTCTCAATGTATTTACAAAACCAGCATGGGCTGCATCTAAAGACTTATTGCACAAGAACGTCAATAATCTGCAGTGAGTATGGTGTTAATATTGTCCCTTTAAATGATTACTCCAAATTACTCCAGCACCAAAACCATTTCATGTCATAAAGTGATCCTTTGTTACTTTTTACATTACAAAAAGAAAAAGAAGCCAAGGGCTAAGACAAATTAAAATTTAAAAGGTTACTGCACTCATCTTAATTACTACAGTTCGCAGAGCTGCCGAAGCCAGAAACTGCATTGGCTGACATTCCTTGGCTTAGAGCGTTAGCTGACCAACTGTGCAATTCTAGGGCTGGCTGAAGATACTCCTGACCCTTCCATGACCCTGCTGGAAGTGGTTAATCTCAAAGCAAAATGCAGACCTCAGTCACCATGACCCCATCAAATCACTGAAGTGGGCATGGTGCTTGGAGTAACCATTTAACTTTAAATAGTGCTGCTAAAATATTTGTCACATGTTTAATGATAGCCAATCTGAAAGAGTATAACATGTATCAGATTACACCTAGGAGGGCTAGATTTTGGTTTAAAGGGAAACTATATGCACCCAGCCCACTTCAGCTCATTGAAGTGGTCTGGGTACATTGTCACTATTGCACTTAGTGCTGCAATGTAGACTTTGCAGTTTCTCTGGAACTGTAATATTTTACTTTGCAGCACTAAGTCTGCCTCCAGTGGCTGTCTACTGGAGGCGCTTCCTGGATCTTAACGGACTTTTGGTCCGGTAACTGATGCTGGACGTCTTCATGCTCTGCATGAGGATATCCAGCGTCCGCTATTTCCCCACAGGAAAGCATTGATTTAATCCTTGCCTATGGGAAGGCTAATGTACGTGCAACGGACACCTGAGAAGGTGGAGGCACGACCCAGCACTGAGGAACATCAGCGCTGGGATTAGGTAAGTAACTAAATCCTCATCAGGGGAAAAACGACAAGGGATGGCAGAGGCAGAGGGAGCTATAGTGTTCCTTGCATTATAGTATCCCTTTAATCAGAATCAACAGGACAATGTACAAATTATATAAAGCAAATATATTACACAAGAAAGAAATTATAGCCTCCAAAAAGAGTAGGACAGCTAATGCAACAATGTGCTACAGATTGCCACCGTATAGAGAAGGAAATCATTATTTTATACTCCGATACTTTATACACTGTTCCTACCAGTTGCCTTGAAAAACCCAACTCTAGAACTGGCTGGTAATTGGAACATCTAAACTGAATTGTGATAAACTGAGTTGTTTACTAAAGTGTGAATTCAAGGTAAATTTCATATTTAAGATCAAAATGGAAAAATTCTGTACATTTCAACTTCACTCTGAATTCTCATTTTAGTAAATAACTCTGTTGATTTAGATACTGGTGCTGAAAGACAACTTGGCAAACAATCATTAGGAACAATTGCGGAAACCGGCAGGCCCGGTTCAGTGGCTCTTCAAGGGGACAACTCTAGCTCCATTTCCTTAAAACATATTTTTTACATTATTATTACTGGTATTTACATTACACCCACTGACTGCATGAGCTGTCAGTGAACCTTCAAGATACTGAACAAAAATTCATGATCTACCTGTAAATTTGTGAATTTCTATGTTAATTTGTTTACAACAAGATGTTAGAAAATATACACAGTGTATATATAGTTTTCATAGTCATGCAGCTTATTTCGTAACAAGCTGGAATGTAAATTGATTAAATAGGCAATCTTAGAGACAATTGTCAACATACCGGCTTTCCCTGTAAAGCCAAACTGAAGGTTTCTCTCCAATTTATCTATTGTTCATACATGCTGTAAATGTGTATTTCTAACACTATAGTGCTCTAGTCACTGTAACCACTGCAAGGGTTAAAGGTGAGTTTACTTACTTTTCTCCATTACAGCCCTGATCTCCTCAAGGAAGCACTGCCTTTTTGGCTGAGATCCTCGAAATTGATGATTTTAGCAATCCAATGCGTTCCAAAATTGAGAGGCTAGTGCGCATGCAGAACATCTGATTGGAATAGTGGATTTTAAATGTACAAAGAAAACTACAGTTCCTTTAAAAAAAAAAAAAAAAAAGGGCAATGTTTTACTTTCACCCGCAAGTTTAAAATGGGCGCCTTACACTGTTCCTTTAAATCCGAATGACAACATTTCGGCTACAACAGCTGTAGCCTAAACAAATTTTCAACTCTATTTAAAACACAACTTTGCTATATTAGACTTTATTTTGCCATTCAAAAGAGTCTACAATTCAGAGTTTATTGATTAAACGCCAGATTGAAATTCACATTTTATAGCTTAAATACCCTAACTGAAAATTTAGCTGATTCTGAGATTTTTTTTCCCTACACTTTGACCTGATTTTTTGTTAGTTCACATTAAATTCCTAAAGTCAATAATTACCAGGTTTTACTAATTTCATTACGTGAAGTCATGATTTTATTAAGGGCACGGAGGCGAGTATTCTGCTTGATCTCTTTCTTTTAATCCTCAGCAACAAATATAATATATTCATAGAAACAAGTCAAACATGTAAACTTGCACCCTCAAAGGGTTAACAACATAAAACAACCAATCATAATGTCCGTTGCACCATCAACTGCCCATGTGACCTTCAGTCACTCCTCTTTCTTTGGTGGTGCCGACGAAGAATTCAATGCAGAACATACGTCAACTTGAAGAAACATTCAACAACTGTACGGGTGAATAAACTGGTATTCTGTAGAAGATGGCCCCGAAGGAACCAATGCACAATGGTGCCAAATCTGATTATGAAGCTGAAAGGAACAGAGAAACAAACTGGTAAAATATGTTTCTAAATATCCGATTATTACCATGATACAGTATTAAGCACAGTAACATATGTATCCGTAAACAGATTATTACCCAATTGAAAACTTTCAATAAATGCAATATGTTGTAATAACATAGGTCCAGTGTAAAACTTAAGGAATAAACATCTACGGGAGGGCGCAACATACCTGTATCGGGTGGGATAATACTCGCCTCCGTGTACTTAATAAAATCATGACTTTACGTCATGAAATTAGTCAAATCTGGTATTTTTATTAGAGGACATGAAGGCGAGTATTATGCTAGTTCAAAGCTGCGAAATAACCACATCAGAAAAATGAGAAACTGGTCAAAAATAAAACTCCTTGAAGGTAGACTCGTGTGACCAATCAGCAGCCCGGAGGAGGTCCTCTAACCTGC